AGAAACAGACCGCCAGATGCAGCTGGAAATCCCAATTAAAAGGTGAAGGTTTGTTTGTCAAGAGACATTGTCAGCCATTGCATGTGTTTTATTTTCTCATTAAAGAAATGCACTGAGCATATACAGAGATTACATTCAGTACAGATTTATCATTACAGAACAATCAGAAAATAACGATACAATCAATACATATTTCCTGTAGCAGAACAGAACAAAGGAACTGATTCAAGCTGAGAATTAAATGAAAAATACTTAAACCAACTGAAGTGATTTTTACACAGATGAGATATTTCAGTCTAAATTAACATTCTCAGCCAAGATCTGTTGCAATCTTTATGTTCACCAGCTTTGTCAGGCCTGGGCCTAGCAACTAAACACAGACCAGAACCGCCTTGTCCGAGAGCCCATTCAAACAGAACCCCAGAAGAACAGTCCCAGTCTGAAGCCACAATCTACATGAGATGGTGGAAGGATCCATACAGAGGGAAGAGTACAATAAAACAAGGAGACAGCTTGGTCTGTGTGACAGGCAACAGCTACAAGGCAGGCTAGGATGATACTCTATGTGGAGGTTTCACTGATTTCAATTGCAGAAGCTCTCTAGAGTTTGCAACCTTAGTAAAATTGTTGTGAATGTGCAGAATTCTATGACACACTACGTAGATTTGATTTTTCAAAGAATTATACTGAAAAAAAGTCACAGCACAGAGCTAGCAGAAAAACTACTTTGCCACATATTTTGTGAGTTCCATAAACTTGACAACCACATCTTTATCCAAATGTGCAACAAAACCTAGAACTCGAATGACCACCTCTATTGCAGTCGCACCAGCTGGACTTTAAGCCAGTCCTCTGCACGTTGTGTGCCCGAGATTAGACCAGATCATCACAGCCGGACATTAAAATCTACAAATCTCACTCATCTGCTTGCCTGTCCCTCTGAGTTTTGGATCAGAGGAGGTACCACCCTGCCCTCCAGTATCATAGACCCAAGACCCTGCTCAGTGCTGTCACGTCATGTGTTACGTCACTTCTCGTTGTGCCCCGTTTGGACACAACCTCTCCACAGGACCTTCTGCCTGCTAGCTAGGGATGCGCAATGCCTTCTGCGATGTGGCCCGTTCTGGATCATTGCTTTGGTAAGACTGCAATGAACCGGATTATTAAATATGTCGATTTAGTTCCTTACATCTCTGAAGATCTCCAAGTAGTTTCCTTCACTTTTCAAAATGGAAGGGATATATAAAGCACCACAAATTAACTCAATCACATCATGGAAGGGGGAGATACATATTCTCAAAGAGTGAAGTTTAGGACAGTGAAGAATTGACAACATGGTTGAAACCGTAAGAAGAATTTGGATAAACAAAAATGTTATCGCTCAGTTTACAGTTTGCCTACAAGACAGGGATTAACCACTTGTCCTCAAAACCAGCAGTAGAGATAGAACGAGCTGACCTTTGGAGGGAGCTTACCAGCTCAAAACAACTTCCAAGCTCTTTTTTTAATTTCTTCTCTACAATGTTGTGGTAAGATTCTCAAAGGATCAGAAAAGTAAAGACAGGAAGGGTTTTGTTGGTTTTTTTTTCCCAGGAAACATACGTAATATAACATACCTCCAGGCATTGTTCTCTTATTGACCTCCTCTTACCAGTTTGTCTTGACACTAAATCATCTTTCTTTCAAGTTTTCTGGCTTTGTCCGGTTCGCAAATGTTCTCTGAAAGACTGATTTGCTTGCTAGAATTTTTAGTCACCTTGTACTTCAAAATTTTAGCTTTCTTTTGAATGTCTGCCGACAGTAAACAGCATTTGGAAGATATTGGTCCTTCACCCTACTACAAGGCTACTTGCAGCTAATATTTCTCCTTGTCTTTATACAGACTATGTAAATTGTAGGAAAATGTTACACATTTGCACAATCAATCCTTTATGATAAACGAGAAGGGGGCAGCATTTCTTACATATAGATGATGACATATTTAGCAGATGGAACAATTTTTATCTGAACATCTGTCAGGTGTGCCTACTGCTGTTTGCCTACCGAGAAATATGGTACATGGAGTAACGTCATTTGGAAATATAATCATCCCTTTCTAAGACGGCAGACTTGTTGCTTCGGGATACTCTTTTCCCTCCTCAAGTCAGCTTCATCAACGGGTGCCACAGCAACGTAAAGACGAGGAGGGAGAAGTAGCTCGTGGAGCTGGTGACCCTCGAAGCTGGGCTTTTTGCATTGCAGTTGTTTGAGTAGCAGCAGTGAACGCTCACTCCAGGCGCCCTGGATCCGTCCCTCCTCGCCCGCTCGCAGAAGGACCTGAACGAACAGGACTTCATAACGCCACCTGCAACAGAGGCCCCGTTGAACCCAGACGTGTTGGCCTGCGTGTTCGGGGTCTGCAGCCCCTCAGCATCAACCCCTCCATCCGGTGTGGAGCAACAGCAGTGGGTTTGGCCGCTCCTTACAGGTAAATGAATACAACTGCACCAGGTTACAGCACGCTAACAAGCTCCCACTTCAGTTAAATAATTGTAATTGTATCTGATGCAGCTCTGAGCGTGCTCCAGTGCAGGGCCTCATTAGCTTCTTTTCCCTCCTAATTTCCAGGTAAGCCATTTAACTTCAAAACTACAGATTTATGAAGAATTGGGCGATACATCAAACGCTTTTTGACAACTTTCACATAGTGTGGATGCAGCTCATCATGGCATACTGACAAATCATACTCAGTGGGATTTGGTATCAGAATGCTGCTAAACCAATAGAATTAGGGACTGAGATTTTTTAATAGGGTTTATTTTGAGAGGAAACATCTACCTTTGTTTTTCTCCTTAGCTTACTATATACTCTTCTAACACTGATAATTTGTTTCTACTATTAAAAATTCATTGAGTCCAAACTGTTTGTGACTACTTACTTGCTTGTCCTCTAATGACCGCACACGCATCTGAATGCCCCGGGCATTGCTGAATTCCTTGTCTGTTACAGTCTTCATCGCTAGAGCCTACACAGGTGTAGCACTGCAGTGCTTCGCCTGGCATCAAGGAAAAAAAGGCCACTTGTAACAGGAACGTTCAGAGCTTACAAAAAATATTTTAAAATATCAGCTGTGCACTCTTGCTGATTTTGTTTGAAGCACACACAAAATTGCAAAAGGGTTTAAAAAACATCTAAGGATTCTGCAAGTCCCATCAATTTTTCTCTTTTAGAAGTGGTCCAGATACCGATTTTAAAGATAAAAAAACTGGCCATATATTATTTAGTTGTTACAATTTGCACTTAAAATAATCCAAGAATATCTGATGTTCTGTAATTACATCCACATCGTCTTGTAACATTTTCAGAGCAGGGTCCGTGGTAACGAGTTGGAGTATCATTTTTATTCCCCTCTCCATCATGGTCTTTGGTCCACAGTACCATGAAAAAGTACATTGTAAACATGTAAAATCTTACTGTGACCTGTATTTCATTTTCTCCTAAAGTATCAATTCAGCTGGAAGGCACAACGCTACATCTGAAGAGTTTTGCTTTTGTTTAAACATTACAACTGTAAACTCATCCTCTTTCTTACCATAGTTTTTCCTTGGTTCACTCTACACGGTATTTTCAAAGGCACACATGAATTTGAAATATATTTAAAATATCACACTTCAGACTTGCAGTGCAGAAGGCACACTTGCTGTCCACAGGGACACGTGCATTTAAATTTGTTAGCATATATATTTATGTTTACTTTACATAGCAGAGGTGAAGTTCTGTGCTGCTAACCACATACAGAAAAGAATCTGAAATCAAACCAACCCAGGAGAGAAGCCCAGAGCAGCAAAGAACCTCAGCCATGCCTGAGGTAGGAAATGAGCAATAAATCAAAAAGGAAAGAAAAGGGAGTTGACTTACTTTTGAGTATAAAAAGGGAGCTGACCAGAACCAGGCTGAAGACTGTCCGCATCATGGAGATACAAGAGATGGAGCATCAGCCAAAGAAAGCAGTTTGTTTGCTATTAAAGCCTTAACGCTTATCTTACATACCTAATCCTCTGCAGAGGATGACTTCTAGGATAAAGAGGTGTGCGAGAATGCTGCTTATCTGGCTTATTCTGGTTGTACTTCTAATCACAGGCACTTCACCTCCACAAACCCGCGGGCAAATTCCTCCAGTAGCAGGAAGAAGTAAACGTATTCCCCTTCCAGGGACAGATACGCTCAAAAGCCGCCGTCCCACCATCGCACGGCCCAGCCGCCTCCACCTCAGGCAAACGGTCTGCTTATATCGCCCACGGGATTTGCTGGAGCAGGGTCAGAGCAGTAAACATTTCTGAGGATTACGCCTATGCTTGGGACATGGATGGTCCAAATCTAGCATATACATATTTATAGAGAGAGTAAGATACAGACATAGGTACGTGCACCTAAGTGGTACATCCTGTGCCCCACGGAGTGCTCTGAGCAGTGACCCATGAAGTGCTCTCTGTGTAGGAGCTGCTGTGTCTGGCGCTGCACATGAAGGAAGCAAGTGAAGTACATAAAATAGAGCCATACGTATCTTCAACTTTCAACGAAAAAATTTATTTACAATAGAGAATTTCATTTAAGTGAAATGCATTTTCATTTTTTTTTTCATTTTTAATTTTATTTTACAAATCAGCAAATGCAGATAAAGTTTACACTCCTTAAGGCAAGAGTCCCCATGCAAGTAATACATTTTTATATTAAATCCAAAAGACATCCAACATGGGAACTCATGTACAAAGGGAAGGCTAGGATCAGCAATTTGTAATTTCTTAGAGAACTTGACAATCTCCCTGATACAGGAACTTTGAGATCAACTTGCTATGAATTATACTATGAAAATGCAAACAATAGCAAGAAATTCTGATAGTCATCTTAGTACTGCATACAATTAAATCAACTTTATTTAGAAAGAAAATACAGTAGTGCATACGAAAAAGTGAAAATATAACCTGTCCACATAAATGTATGGACATCAGTGTGCCAATGGTCATATTGCACTCAATACCGAAGTCCAGAAATTTGGTTAAAAGTTAGCTTTTCCCCATTTTGGCAATCAGTTCATCACAAATCTTTGTTAATTCTTCTATCTCTTTGTTCTGGAAAATAAAAGGCAATATTAAGTATGAAAAACATGGTTGCATTAAGATGAGGTGTTTTTTTTTTAAATTATCCAACCTTTGGGAGAAATGTGGGACAATTAAGCTTTCTCCAATGCTGAGAACAGAATATCTATACATATAGAGAGATATCTATAGATAGACATATATATATGCATACATAGTACAGCTATGTATAGTGCATTCAAACAATATGCTTACTGATTTCCACATACGACCTTCCTGCGACTTCAATAAATACCATCTAGCACTAAAGCAGACAGCTTTACAGCAGTCATTCCTAGCACACGATAATAATCCATAGTGTGAACTTATTTCTAGGCTGCACTTTTTCATAGCGTTATTTTTCCCGCTCTCCAGGGGCTCTAAGCAAGGCCGAGCTGCACCATGGTGAGAGCAAGCTCCTTCACCGAGCTAGAGAGCAGAGATATAAGCAGGGATTTCCTCCAGTCCCTTTTGCCCTAAGCTGTACAGACCTGTACCTGAGCCTTCTGTCTACCTTAACAGTGCAGGCACATAAGCTAGCGTTGGAATTACAGCTAAAACTAAAAGTGGAAACAAAAACTGAAAGAACTAAACCAAGATCTTAAACCCAAGAACCAGAGCAAAGCCAGCCTGGCACACGGGTGCAGGCTGCGCTCGGACGGAGGCTTCACCCACAAAAGCCGGGCAGATGGCTCCGTTTGCCGCCTGCCACGCTGCGCGCTGCCCACCGCTGACTTCGCCACAGCGCTTGGGCAACTCCACTCGCCCTGGGGCCAGGCCCTCGGGCAGACCTTGGCTGGGCTCAGAGCTCCGGAGGAGAGCTGGACTCAGCCACGCCGCGGAGGAGCCTTCCCTTCTCTCTGCTCATCCCGCTGACTGGATCAGAAGAGAGGAATTGCCATTTACCTTTTGTTCCAGTGTTCTCTCCAACGCGTCCACTTTCAGCTGCTCTTTACGAAGGCTGGCCTGGTACGCTGCTTGCTCTTGCTGAGCCTTGCCTCTCACTTGTGCGATTTCAGCGTTGGCTCTAGAAAAACACAGATTTTTGTCACGTCAGGCTCTCCACAGGAAAGGATGGCGGGCACCGAAGGATGGACTGCATGTTAACAGAGGGGTGGGGAGGGCAGGGTGACTTTCTGCGTGTCTTTGAAACTAGCCTGAGACTTGTTCCTACAGACTTTTCATGGCTCCTTCTCTTGCTCAGGAGAGGCTGCAAAGTCTTCTCTTAATGTCCGTGTTGTTCCCTCCCTGCTTCTCTCAGATGTCTGTGCTGGGGTCATAAACATCACTTACGTAGAGGTGTTTTATGGAAGTTTCCACATGTGCTCTCCAGTTTTAATACTGGTCTGACAGCTGGGACAACAGCTGGAAAGCAAATCCGAGTCTCAGTTGGTTTTAGGCTCTGATCAATCCTAGCAACATCTGAGAGGCATGTCTTGGGTCTAGGGGACTGCGAGTCCCGAATGTAATCCTTAGAGGTGCTTTCTTGGTTGTTACATGGAAGCACACAAAAAAGACAAAATTAAAAAATCAGCCGGAGCTGCCTGTCTTAAGCCACAATCAGATGTTCGCCCCTTAACGGCGGCTGACGGAGCTACCCTCCCGGCGGATCTGGCACCATCGGTTGTGCAACTCCTCCTCATCGCCCTCCAGCTTAGATCGCAGATCCAGCTTAGATAAGCGGCGTTCCGAGGGGCAGGGTGGCCGCTGACTCTGCACTGGAGCGCCTGAGCAGCACTTACACGTCCTGTCCTGCCGACTGAGGCCGGGGCAGTGATACGGCGCAGGGGCAGTGGCAAATCTCGGGGGGCAGGAGCACTAGCTGCAGCTGCAACTATCTGAGCACAGCCCTCCACAGCTGCACAGAACCTAGCTAACGCCTTCTTTCTTGATCTTCCCTGGAAAATACATTAAAGAAACACGAAGACATTTGATAAAGGTAGAAATTCACGGCGTTCTATACGATCAGGAGGTGGAAGGAACACCAGCACGTTACAGAAATTCTCTTTACGGCATTTCATTCCCTGCTCCATCACAGAGCAGCCTGCGCTCTGCATACTGAAGGAGCAGGTTTGGGATGCCAAGGTCCAGCCACAGGAACCCTCCTGCAGCACGAGCTCCTGAAAAGAGATGTCTGCAATCAATTACCTGTCCAGTTTTTCCTCAGCGTGAATTTTGAGTGCTTGGTACCTCTGCTCCTCCTTCTTCACTCGTGATAAGTATTCCTGCGCACATTTCTTTAACACTTCTTCATTCTTAAATTAAAAGATTACATTAAATTTAATCCAAGAGATTGAAGCGTAGGACAGGCGCCTATTTGCGGGAGTCACATTTGGATGTTTTAAGGGATGCTGTCTAACACGGACACCCCCACACTGAGGCCATCTCAAGCAGCATTACGCAATGCAAAAAGCTTTACAATTGTTCTGCTTGCATTTGCTACGTGGCTGCAAGCCTTCATCTGAGGATGACGTTGTATCACGCACTCAGACGCAATCTCTGACCTGAGGAATTCCCGCCCTGGGTTTTAACTGAACACTCAGTCCAGAAGCCAGCCCTGACATGAGCTGAAGTCCACAGTTATGTGGCGTCTACTGAAATTGCAGTGTCACAGATGGGAGCAAGTTACTTCCGTGGAAAATCTTCATCTTTATAAAGCTATTCCCAAACAAAAGCACAAATGAGCATTCACATTCTCCCTCCCGCCAGCACACGGCCATCTTAATGGAGTACATCAGATTCGACTGGAAACAGAGATGCCCTCTGTTAAGCAGCACTTGGTTAGCACACCGCTATGTGAGCCTGCTCAGCTTTTGCCTTTAAAGGCGGGGGCTTCAACCTGACTCACCTTCCGAAAGCCCTCCAACACTTCTTTCATTTTTTCGTATCTCCTGAAAAGATCTGCCAGTGATTTCTCCACTGAGTTCAGATCGGCCAGAGCTTGCTCCTTCTCCACTATCAGCTGCTGAACAGTGTGATGGGAGACCGATTTCTCTCTCTGTTCATCCTCTGTTAGAAAGAAGAGAGCGGGAGGGAGAAAAGCGATTTTCAGAAGGGTAGGAGTAGTAAGAACACTGATTTCACCACCATCTATAGTTTCCACTATACTGTGCTTGATGTTGCGTATTAGTAAGTTTGTGGGATCCAGAAAAGTAATTTTTATATAAAGAAAAAATCCTGTTTTGGAAAAAGGTTGCTAAATACAGTGATATTTAAATATTTTGATGTTGGGGAAAAAATGTGAACATATCTCTGTACTGATTTATTTCACTTTGAACTCAGCTGTTCCCACGGAAAAGGCAGGTGTTGGATTCCCCTTGTTTGCCTGAAGAAGCACGAGCTGAAGGAAAGGACATTTATGCACACTACTAGCGCTGGCAAGGAATTACTTGCCATTGCTGATATATGCTTGTCATCTCCTGGCATCTCTTCTAATCCTGTACAAACAAGGCACTTTGTTTAATGAAATTCAACTCAAATTCTTCCCTTGGAAAAAGAGTGTTTTGCAAACTCTCATTCGTAGGATTACTGTAGCAAGTGCCAGAAAGGAAATGTAACATTAGACAGACTTTCTAGGTTCTGGTCTGCAGAAGACATCTTCCAAGCTTCTCCTGTGCATAGTTAAATTTGAGGCAGGGATGGTGGGAAGAACACAACAGGAATCCAAACCCATATGGAAGAGGAGTTTTTGAAAGGAATTGACCTAGTCATAAATTGGAATACCCATGTACACTAGAAGAAAAGGTCCAGCATTCTCTTCCAAAATGCTTCATTGCTTATTTCATATCCTAAAATACAATTCTTGTGCCCATGTTTTAAGGGCTACTTTGAAAACCCTGAAATGAAAACCAACCCACAAAACATAGCAGTTCTATATTACCATTTTCCTTTCTCTCTGATGGGAACGAAGATGAGGTAGGAAGTTTTCTCATGTAAAAAGCACGGGGCATTTTAGCATCCACAACTTTTCATTCAGGGCTTTATATGAACTGAACAAGAGTTTATTTTTTCATTTTACTAGAATTCTTCATCTGAAATAAGTATTTCATAGCGTTGGTCAGCTCTGAAATGTCAGGGTTGTTACTGTCAGTTCCTAAACTGAGATTCATCTCTTCCATTTTCCACATTCAATCCTTTTAGACACTTTTTTGCTAGCCTAACTAAGCCCGGAGCAGCGATGCTGCCACGCCGTGAGCCAGCTCATGGTGGTCACATTCTGTGCCCCTCTGCATGCGCCGGCAGTGCTGCGGCACACATCATGCTGGGGCAGAGCCCGACCTGAGGTTGTTTTGCTCTACGTGATGGAGAAGACCGAAAGAACCAGAGCAGCTCTCAGGATCTGCACGGAGTTTGCAGCACTGGAAGTTGTAACACCTTGACTCTGCCTGTGAGCCAACGCCTTTGATACGGCAGAACTGAGAAACCCAGAACCCTGTAATGCCACATCGGTTTGATAACGTTTAATGCTTCATAAAAAACACTTTCCCGTTTTGCCTTTTTAAAGACAGTCTGTGATCATCTCTCATGTCAAAATGAATGCGTTCTCCAGTAAAAGGAGAAAAACATTTGTCATCCCTCATTTATTTTTCCAAATCTGTGAAGTTATCACCTTGTGTTCTGGCACAGGACCTGTTTAATCACGCTGGAGATTACACACCGTCTAGCTTAATTCCAAAACACTTAGTGGTGGGATCCTGTTCTTTGGCAAAACCGCTGTCATCGCAGCTCCACGCGGGAGGGATCCATTTGCATGATCACGTAACGTACTTCAACGTATTTAATGTCGCAACTTTACTTTCTCTGAGACTGCTGTCTGCGGGATTTTAGCAACTTCCTTCATATTTGTTTCTAGAAAAGTTACCAATTCCTGGCTCACTCTCTGTCACCACTGCCGAGCAATCCTGTTCCAGTGCGTGGCGGTGCCCTCCTGTCTCCTCCGCTGGACCAGATCCTTCAACCTGATCCCCAGCCCCGCTTCGCCTTGCACAGGGGCATTAGGGACAAGCCCCTCTCCTCTCCCTCCCGCTACAGGCTAGAGGTGTCCGTGGACTGGGAGCGAGCTGAGGCCCCATTAGACTCCAAGTGAGAACAGGATTTTATATTGCATATTTATGCTACATGCAAATGTACATTTATATTGTATTGCATATGTAGGTTATACACTACAGAAAACAGAAGCTGGCATCTGGCTGGAGGGGGACTGGAAGTTCTATGAGAGACTGCTAAAACGATGATTTAGCTTTAAAGTTTCTGATAATAGTCAGCCAGTCAAATCTTAGTTAAGCAGTTACAGAGACTTATTTCTAAACAGATTTATGAAGTTATATGATTAAAAGATTGTAATTAAATGGCTTCCACGTCTGCGACACACACTGGCCAAGGCTCACCAACAATAACGACAGAACCGGAGCACCACCACAGCGGATCAGCTTTCAGGCTCAGCTCGGTGTTACTGACACTACTTAATGGGAATGCAGCAAACGGAGAACAAAAGCAAAAGAAACTAAAAATGCAAAATGCTGGTGTGAAAGTTGGTTAAAAGCTTTACTTACCAGGCTTGCCTGTTTGTTTTTGCAAGCAAATAGCAAGAAGCAACAAAAACGGAAGCAAAACAGAAAATCAGGAATTGTTAGGAAAGCAGAAAATAAGTACTGCAACAACCTGTAATGCACAAAGCATAACATCTCTTTGCTTTTCATAACGAGAATTTAACTGCGTATCTAAACGTACAAGGTTACATTTTTAACAGAAAAAAACCCAACATTACAGATCCAACAACAAAAAGGAACTCGACGACAGGGCTTTTGGAAGGGACCTGTGGGTGGCTGTGACCGAGGTGTGCGTAGGGCGGGGTGCAGTGAACACGGGGGTTACGCAGGCTCCGTTCCGTACGGCTGCCAGTGCCACGCAGTCCTGAGCTGCAAAACTTGGGCAACACTCAGCAAAGCAGCAGCAGAAGCAGCAGGCCAGCCTGGAAAGCCTGTTCTTTTTTCTACCTGCCCCCCTCAGTGTAAAGAACAATGTGTTAGGGGCCCAGGCAAGCGTAAGAAAAAAGGAAAAAAAGTTAAAGCATCAGTAAAAAAAATACGCAGAGACACGACCTGGGATCTGTCCCCTGACAGCTTGTGAGCGCTGCTTGTACAGAGCGCGGCATGGAACGAACTGCACACGCAGAGCGGGGCCATACCGGGTTCTACACGTGTGCAACAGCAAATACTGGACCTTGCACAGCCTTTGAAACCAAAGGCAATTACTGTTTGCAATGCATGTTTTCAGTGTCTTTACAGGCAAGCGTACGCAATCATACGTTGCTCATATGGAATATTTTCAATATTCATTAGACAGACACAACAGGCTATAAAAAGCTGAGCAGGACCTATCAACCACACTGAATATTCATTGAAGGGATTTGTGAAATTGGTGCACTTGTAATGCCCTCCTAACAGGGCTGTATAAAATAGCTCAGAATGCTTAAATCACCAATAGAAATAGCCCAGGCATTTCTTTTGTTAAAATGCGCATTTTGCTTTAGCAGTAAGACTTTATTGTGATAACAGTCCAGTGAAGTCTATGCAAATGGCACAGAGGCACTCATTTTCCTCCACAACGTGGCACTCGGAAGAGTGAATTCCTTCATCAGAAGGGACAGTAATTTACGACAAATGACAGGAGAAAGTGGGACAATTAGATCAAAAATTTCCATTAAATGCAGGGAGAGGAAGCCTCGCATTTAACGTATTACCATGCTGTAGAATTTGCATCCTGTGCTAATTAACAGATGCTTTCTGTGTCACTGTTGTTGTTTCAGTTCCTTTGCAAATGGTCAGCAAATTACATTATTTATAACTATAGCTCTTAAAAATTTACCATAGACCATTTGAAACACTCTGATTCTCTGAATTTGAAGTTTAAAGGTCTTTCTGTTTCCTCAGTGGTGAACGGCCCGATGCTCTAATTCTCCTTCATTTCTTTGCAATGAGAGGAAACGGCAATTGCAGAATTTACTGTGTACGCCATGGCTGTGCCTCTGCCTCAGGATCCCCATCTCTAGTCTGTAATTTATTGTTGCACTGTGGTCTCAATTTCAATTAAAAAAAATAAATCTGTTTCTCAAAAATAGAATTTGAATTTGTCATGAAAAAAGAAACTTGTGTTGCTAACTACATGCATCTGCTTGGGAGAAAAGGACAGGTCCTGTGTCTGCGCATGTGAGTGGCCAGGCTCGGGGAGGGAGCCGCACCAGAGCACCTTCAGGGCACACCAAACCGAGTGCTTTGCGTACCCGGTCACTCCCTGTTTGGACACGCGCACGGTGAGAACGACAGGCTTGCGTCAGCAGGCAGGCAAATCGCTCAGTTGTACGTACAAAAGGCAACGGAGCCAAAACACCACAGAGAACGAAGCCAGGCATGTTATTATTATTGTTATTATTATTATTATCTATCATCTATGGTATTATTTATTTTATTTATTAGTATTATCATAACATTTCTTTATAGGCCCGTTTTTCCCCTCACTTGAGAGGAAGCTGGAGTGTCTCCCTATGGCTGAGAAAAGCAGGATGGCAGCAAAAGCACCAGACATTGAGCTACTTCCCCCCACTCTTGGGCAAAAATAAGCCAATTCGCTACAAACGTATGTAAACACAGTTCAAGTATTGATTAAAAAGAGCAAGTTAATCCAAATATTTGGGGGTCACTCAATACTGACTGCAGATGAGGGGACTGCCAATTTTAGAAGGGACAAAACAATATCATATGTTGATAGCTGAATAAAAACATCTGTTAAAATCCTTGTAGAAAGGTGCAGGTATGTCTGTTGTGTTCCTGCCCCACTGTACTCTGTGTTAGATCTCTCAGGAGAGAGGGAGCAAGAGGAATAATTTGTTTCTTTTTATTTTTCAATAAACACTGTGCAAACAGGCTGGACTTGCGGACACCCTTAGCTAGGCCAGCCTTTCTCCCGCATCTCACAGCTCGGATTTAACTCCGAGGCCGCTCCTCATGGCTTTTAACGATATTTCACAGTTCTCTGGTGCTTTCCTCAAGCTTGCCCAGGTGAGCTCGGTCCTGCTCCCTCCCCAGCCGCTGCTGCTTTTCCTGCTCGTCCCAGCCTTTCGACCAGAGAACCCTGGTTGCCTCTCACGGGGCAGACGGCTCGAGCTGAAGCAGGACAAGCCACGGGCGCTTTCTATAGCCGGACTAAGACAAAGATCTTGGAAATCCTCCAGGGAGGCTTTAAACCCCCATCCCAGGGGCCAGACCTCCCACCCCAACGAAGCGCACGAGTCCTGCAGCCTTCGGTCTTGAAATGCTACTCCATGTAGTGTTTTTCATTTCTGAGATGTGCTGTTAACAAAGGCGTTTTCTAATTACTCTGAGGCAAAATGTGTCATAATTTAGACCTTAAGGGAGACGCCTATGTCAGTAAATAACTGGGGATGGATTGGCCACTCATAATCTCTCAACTGGGATTAGAGTTAATCTAGGTTTTGGTCTGACCAATGCACTTAGCACAGATAATCCCTGTTGTTGTAAAGAGCTAAGTTTGGTATCGCCCATTAAACAGCTGGGAGCAGGTGACTAACGGGTTTTTAGGTCACTGAAGGTCTCTCCTGGAGATACCCATGAATTCTGGGCAAAGCATCTGAACACGTTGCCTGTGGGACAGTTTGCTTTGATGCAGAAGAAAAAGCCCTGACCTTTCTGTATTACCTGGACTGCCTCGAGGGCTGCTTTCTGTAAAATGAAGCCCCAGCTTTTCATCACAACCTGGCAGCACGCGCTGGTGTCCTCAGACGCAGCCACAATTCCCAGCAGCATCAGCAGATGTAGCTAGCATCAAAATGAAGCCCACAGACTTCAACCACGTTTCTAGGCTCTTTGCAGAAAATCAGAGTGGAAGATAGCATCTTTCAGAGCAGAAACACCTACCTATCATCTGAGCAATCGTCTTCTCGTACTCTGAAACTATTTTCCTGTAAGAGGGAAGAAAAGGAGAAGCTTTTGGCAAACATCGTAATTGCTAATGCTTACTTAGAAAATAATGCTACTCAATAACTGAACTATGGTATTTTAAAAGAGGTACAGGACCCCCTCCCCCCCCACTTTTATATGCTCCTTATTACCTGAGAAACAAATAAAAATGACAGTTTCAACATTGCACCTGATTTTTAATTCCCCATGTAAATCAATATACGTGGCAGGAGGGAAAAGGGATTGCTTTGAAGCAAATTCTGTTACTTGAAACATGCAAAGCACATTACCGATCGTGATTTAAATATAAACATAATCACATTGGTCTAAGGCAAGAGTTACAAAGAGTCTCATTTTTCCATTACTTTCTCCTCTCTTCATGTTTGTGTTTCATTATTTTTAATGTAAATGTTAAATAAAGTTATAATTGGTAGCAAGTAAACCTAACAGGGGCATAGTTGGCCTGCATCCAAAATATATCTAATTTTTCACTCTCCAGATGTGACTAAATGATCCATTAGCACTTAAGAGAACAAGACCAAAATATTCAATTACGTAGCACCAAATCCATTGTGTCCTATTTCCCAAATCTGTTTTTGAAAGAGGTGGCAAAACGTTACTTTTAAGATTATTTTACTTCATATACTCACAGTAGGCTTTGAATATCCTTCTTGAAAAGAGGTTAGCCAAAATAAGCAGATTAAATGTGATTTGGAAAGATGATCCATCCCTTCCCAGAGCCAAATAAAGCTAATGAAATGAGACTAGCTTGATCTGTGCTTTGATTCATGAGCCACGAAGGACTGTCTACGAAAAACAAAATTACCCCAGACTTCATCTGAAGCGGACACTCAAAGCAGCCCGCTGGTGTTTGAATACGACTCTTTCGAAGCCTTAGGTCGCTTGCACTTGCTCCGTTTTAGCGACGTCCGCTGCAGTTGGTGAGGGTACAGAAAGGATGTGGGAGAATCCCGAGACCAAAGTCAGTAAGGCAGGGAGCGGAGCTCCCAGCCCAGCACTGTCCCAGACCTGGGTCACGGACTGAGCCTGGGAGCCCCGGGAAGGCCGCTTGCCCCAGAGGTCCGCGGGGTCTCCGTGCCCTGCCCCGGCAGCGCGCCCAGCCGAGCGGGGTGTTCCAGCTCCGCACCCCGCTGACCACGCTCACGCTGCGGGGAGGAAACATTTTCGGTGCCGGGGCGGGAGCCCGTCTCCGCACAGCTCGCCACGTCTCCACTGGCACCTGCTCGGATGCCGCTTTCCCTGCTGCCGGTCCTATCGTTTTCATTGGCTTTTTTCTTTATTTAACAATAAATGACACTTTTGAGAGCAAAGATAGCTGCAAGGATTTTCCCCTAAAAGGAAAGGATTGGTTTCACGTCCAAAGAAGATTACCTCAAAAGCCTGCTGTAAGCAATAAGGATTTTAAAGTTATGTCATATCCTTGTAACGCCAGGAACCTTTAGGAAGTTTTATCATCCTAAATAATGAAGCCAAGGACTTAGGGCAAAGAAAATTATATTAAACACTGTTACAACACCAGAGCACTCCCCAGCCTAGGCTGTGCCACAGAAGTTGGCAGCAAAGTGAAATAACGTCATCTATTTCTTATTTTTCCCAGCTTAGACCTGTTCTGGCAGGTACCACATTCTCTGCTTTATCCAGCCGTACGAATCATGCGGCAGCCGTTCACTGGAAGTGGGTCCTGCAATGGCACGCGGATTTTAATAACACTTGATTTGGAAAGCTGGTAGTCCAGTGAAGTCTTCCTCCAGACTCCAAGGCCTCGCCAGTCCAGCAGCCTGAGTAGCGGTCCCTGCGGCTGGGGAGCTGAAGGATGCGGGCTGCGTCATTGCCCTCTGTGATGGCTCGCCTTGACCCCAGCCTGACAGGCTGCGTGGGCTTCACGTTTGGTGTTTCAGACATTCAGTCTATTTACTGACTTCCCGCACTTTCATAAGTCACCAACCCACCAAAATCCAGGGCTACAAAGGATCTCAGAGGTCATCTGCTTGACGTCCCGTACTGAGTCATAATCAATTAGACCTCCAAATAACCATATTTAAATATCTCTCGCCTGCTTCTGGTTGTACCCTTGAGTTATAGTACAGCTCACCCTGGTTCAGCTCTTCGATAGTTATTACATTATTACAACTTCTCATCTTGGCTACCATTCTCTGGAGTGGAATTTCCTCCAGCCTGACGTTTTTCTGGCAGCTCAGCTGAACTCAGGCTATTCCAGGTAGCAAACGCAGGACGTGGGTACAGGAGCACCGCTGCTCCTTCTGCGGACACTGATGCTTTTGTGCTTGCAGCTCCAGATAATCCCTTTGCTCCTTGCTTATCATTATGTCATATCTAATTGCTGCATCTCTCATTTGCCACACATGGACTGTTTCAACATTTAATCTTCCAAGAGAAATCTTTCTTTGTGCACACATGCAGAATTTAGCATTTTGTGACAATATTTGTCAAAAACTTTTTTTCACCCATGTGTTCGAGGGATGTGCCTGGGGGAAATTTGGCTTAGACAATGTGTTATTTTTCGAATAAAATTTTATTGCGGGTATAGACCACAAGCAAATTACTGCGAGGAAGAGGAAGGTACAGATCTACAGTGTGCCAGCCGCTCTGTGTCACCCCCTGCTCTCCTTTCATTACGGCATAAGCAACCTCTGTCAGTGCCCCTCTGCAGGCGCGTGCACCCAGGCAGTTTCTGGAGGACAGACCCAGGGCCGCACTGGAGCGTGTGCTGAATGCCGGGACATTCCTTACACAATTCCTTATCTCGTTTATTCCTTGTTTTGCTTCCTAGGTTTCACTGCTTGCAGCAGCTCCTTTCCATTTTGCCTCATCACGCATTGGAGAGCTGGGCCAGGGTTTTGTTTCCTTTCCCAAGCAGAGCGCAAGAGAGGTGAGAGAACTCAGCCGCGTGCTGGGAGATGTTTTTTCTGAAAGAAAGCAAGCGGCTGCCCTGCCTTTTGCAGATGCCTCTCCTCAGATGCTTTGGCTCAAAGCCCTGCGTTGCCGCTATTCAGATCTGCCATGTGCGACTCCTGGCATCCCCGCTAGCGTTTGCCGGGTTCTGCACCGCGGCTCCCTTTTACCCCTACTCCCTAAGCACAGTTTCCCTGGGTGTAAGCAGGAATTGCATACGCAGGTCATCGCCCGATACAGCTCGTTGGCTTTAGCAGACATTTAATTCTGGGAAGAAGCTAGCGCTCGAAAAGAAGGGACTTTGAAGAAAATTCAGTCTCAGAAGTGATTGCAAAAATGACTAATGAAAAGAAGGATGCTAAAATAATCCACGAGTTTCCTTTTATTTATAAGCTAAGAGGGGGTGGTGGTTTATCTGTCTGTCTGAAAGTAGAAAATAATAGGCTTTAAACAATTCTGTTCTGCAGTTGATGGCTTTCTCAGATCGATGAGCAGGTCAAGCTCATCAGCGCGTTGTTCTTATGGCATTACCGCTGTAGAAAAAGAAAGGCTGAACCTGTCAACTGCCTAAAGGGGAAGCAATAGTGATTCCTGGAAAAGCACCTCTCGCCTCTTCCACTACAGTGACTTCGTTGTCACTGTTGCGAGTGGTAGGACCTGGGCTGGGAAGGAAAGGGAAACCAGCTATGTTCCAGTGCACAGATATTTAATCTAATAGGGGCACGTCTGAAAGGAGAAATAGAATATATGAGAACAACAGATACATCTAGAAGAAACTGAAAAGCTCAGGGTCCTTCTATCAGCTCTCAGAGCAGAAAATCCAAGTTGCTTAACTGAAACCAAGCTTGGGGTGTGCAGTAATTACAAAATTAGCTCAGTTCAGTGAAAAGAGTTTAGAATCTCCTTGAAAGTCAACACTCGGAGGCTAGAGTGATTCCTTTGCAAGAAATGTTTTCCTACTGGCAACTGGGGTTTTGTTTTCTGTTGTTAAAGAAACTTTTCACAGTAATCATACAATCACAGAATGGGTTGGGTGGGAAGGGACCTTTAGAGGCCATCCAGCCCAACCACCCTGCAGTGAGCAGGGCCATCTTCACCTGGATCAGGTTGCTCAGAGCCCCGTCCAACCTGGCCTGGAATGTTCCCAGGGATGGGGCATCGACCACCTCTCTGGGCAACCTGTGCCAGGGTTGCACCACCCTCACTGTAAAAAATGTCTTACTTCTACCCAGTCTGAATTTCCCCTTTTAGTTTAAAACCTTTACCCGTTGTCCTGTCGCAACAGGCCCTGCTGAAAAGTCTATCCTGATCTTTCTTATAGGCCCCCTTTAAGTACTGGAAGGGGTAATCTCCTGGGAAAAACCTGTACTACCTACAGCTATTGGCAAACCTTCCCACTCTTCTGTCGGCAAAGCTCTTCCTGGAGAGTGAACTCTAAGTTAGCAGTGCACAGCTCTGCGGGCAGGCTCCTTCAGTCAGGCAACAGAAACACCACTACGCAACCCACGTGAGAATCACAGCACGAGCTGGGGGAAACCCCTCCCTTACATGCACCTAGATGAAGAGCCCGCATCTCAGTATTGTCAGGGAGTAAATGAGAGTAGCAACAGAAAAGTTTTCAATGATTACCCTGACCGGGGGTGCCCACCACGCAGAGCAAAGACTGAGTATCAGTTCAGGATCAATCCAAAGCCAGCAGTTGAAAATAACTCAACAAATTCAGCTAACCGAAACAGCCGTACAGTCACGGCACTCGGTGTGCTATCCACAGGCTGAAGAGAGACTCTCTGTCAGTGTGATGAGTGGCAAGTTAATCACCCACCTCATCTCCATCACTTCCCTTCTGCTTTCTTCGTATTTCTCTTTCCACTCAGATACTTCTCTTTCCTTGGCCACGATCTGAAACAAAGAAGGCAAAGGAAAAAAAAAAAGTTAAACCAAGTGATCCATTAAAGAGGAAATTAAACAAGTGTACAATATTTTATTTAATATCAAATTCTAATTAACAGAGGTATAGTTTTGAAATGCATAATGGTTTCAAATATAAGCATCCCCAGTGATTTTCTTCTTTTTCAGACTGTAAGGTGCAATCAAAAAAAATCTGATGTGAAATCATACTCAAGTTCTGAAAAACTGAGGAGAGCAGATGCAATGTTCTTGTTTCACGTTTCCATTCCTGATTAGAACACGCACAGTGTTACCCTACGCTTTGTCTGATCTGACCCAGTGCCAAACCCGAAATACTCCTGTCCACGGTCCCTGGTCTGTCCTCTGAGGGGGCTCTACTGCTTCTGCCTGCGGCTGTAGGGCTGGCTGTCCGTGAAAGGTCACACCCTGAGGACTGTGTCCCTCTGCGCTCCTGGCGTTCACACGATCGGTCTTAAAGCTTGGAATACTCTAACACCAGATTGTACCTATTTTTGAACATTTGTTATTACCCAGCCTAATCTTATATGTAGCTTTGTAAAGTGCAGAATTTTATTCCTATTTCTAGCATCTTACATTTTTTATATAATTATATAGCAATGTCAAGAGGCACAGAGTACACTTGAGGTTAAAAATAATAAAGATCTATTTTCACATAATGTCTGCTTCTCACTTCTGTCAGAAAAAGTAAAACCTACAGCGTAGCACCTCGCGTGGCTTTAGCACGGCTGAGGACAGTTTCAGGAACAGAACGAGTGTTCGTAACATGAATCATTAGGGAGAGCACAGGAAAGACATAAACCACAGGGGGCACGCGCTTCCTTTTCCAAATTCTGAAGAAAATTACCTCTGCTCTGGCGAGTCGTAGCGCCGAGTCTAAGTCTTGCTGGGGGTAGAGCAGACCCGTGGTGCTTTCTGCGTCCGAGGTGCCGATCCGGGAGTACAGCGCACTTTTAGAGATGGAAACATCTGCTGGGATAGCAGGTTCTCTCTGTGTGTTTGTTTTTTTAAATACAAAGAAACGAACCATTAAATACGTGTTTAGCTAATATGTTTTCTGGGTGTAGTGCTAGGCACCAGGGTCCTGAGGTAGGACTAGAATCCTGTGCACTACTAAATTATAAACGCTGTAACACTGACTTTGAATTTAGCAATCATAAAATACACATTTAAGATCCGTGGTAAGACCCGTATTACCCTTCTAGAGAGAAAATAAAGACAGCACTTTGCCACCAATATTTTAAGGTCTTATATTGGAAAATCTACTATTTTCTGATGCAGAAATTTCATCAAAACATCCACAAGAAATGCAGGTCAGCAGAGGAAATTAGAGTTGGAGGCAGAGAGAATGTTAAGGGCAATTCTGCTTCCATAAAAATAGATCAAGAAACCAGGAGCCAGAGGGCAGCTCACTTCCTTAGGCCTGACCTGCCAATGCACTGTGAATACCACGTAGACCCCGAGAAGGATGGAATATGCAGGTGACATTGCTGCCCCACTGGTCTTTAGCATGCCATTAGTAAGTTAAATGAGGTTTTATTTGCAGCTGCCAATTTTGCTCATGTCAGCGGCCCAGATTAACTCGGGAGCAGAGCAGCACGTGAAACATAGAAGAGCGCAAACAAGAGACACGGGACACCGAGATGCAACGTCCTGCAAACAACACTCGAGGTGCAACCAACCCAAGTTACAGCGCATTAAAATCAAGGCGATTTTTATAAAAGACAGTTAGGAAGTTGCTAAACCTGTGTGTGTCCCCCCAGTTTTCAGACACCATCCCTAGCAGATCTACAGTCTGGATTTCGATGCGTGAGCAACACCACGCTCCTTCCCAGCTACCACAGCGTCGCACCTCTCCCCTGCGCTTCTTCCCCCGAGAGCAGCCCCCTCCGCAGCAGATGCACGGCCGCAGCGATACGGCCCCGCGTCCCCACCGAGGCTCTGCGCCTCGCCATCGTCCAGCTGACCCACGCACCCACAGAATCACAGAATGGTAGGGGTTGGAAGGGACCTCTGTGGGTCACCCAGTCCAACCCCCTGCCCAAGCAGGGTCACCCAGAGCAGGCTGCACAGGACCTTGGCCAGGCAGTTCTTGAATATCTCCAGAGAAGGAGACTCCACAACCTCCCTGGGCAGCCTGTTCCAGGGCTCCGTCACCCTCAGAGGGAAGAAGTTCTTCCTCCTGTTCAGACGGAACTTCCTCTGCTTCAGTACTGTTGTCTTCACCCTGACCACCTGGCTGGGAAATGAAATGTTTTCTCTCCCAGCTGCCGGTGGGTCACAAAATAATTTTGGGGGTGGATGTGACCATATCCCTATCGCTGGGGTTTAAGGTTCCCTGTTAAAGATGCGTGAAACTGGCCACAGAACCAGGATTCCTGGGGATGGGAGGAGAGGGGCAGACAGCACGGGCACCACAGCAATCCCCGAAAGTTTGCTTCCTTACCACACTGCACTAAAACAGGCTGAAGAATCAGGAACACTGCAGTAAAACAGGCTGGGGAATCAAAATGTCACCAAAAATGAAAATAAACTTTTTCCTAAAATGAGGAAATCCTCACAGAAGCCAAACAGGGTAGCAAGTTAACAGTGAGAGGCATCTCTAAGAGCTCTGTTCCAGGCTCCAGAGCAGAGAAGGGGGATCCCCTGCTGCCACGCAGCGCTGGGACCCCACGGCTACACTCCACGGACGCAGGCTGCATCGTCCTCAGGACAATTCTCCGAGACAGAGCGCGAACAGCTCCACTTCACGGGGCCCCGCGCTGCCCAGAGCGGTCCCAGGGGAGCCCCACCTCGGGGAGCACCACGGGGGAGGATGGGCTCAGCCCTGCCCAGGGACGTGCTCTCACACTTATTATTTTCCTTTCTCTTTCTCTTCATATGAAATCCTCCCACCAAAAGAAGTTTCATAGGAAATATCTTGTATCTGAGCATGGCTGAAATTCCTTCTAGTTCTGTGACCTAAGAGGATACTTCACAGGGTACAGAACGCTCAAAAACACCGACTCTGGCGGGGAGGACACGAATGCCCAGAAATCCCTCTCTCGCTGTGTACATATGCAGATGTCACTTGCTAAGCCAGCGTCAAAACTGCATTTGAAAATATGGAATCATCTTTTTTATTTTAACCTGCAGATTCAGTAGCAGAATTTTTCGGTGGGCTCTCATGACAATTCAAATCATCTCTCTGCCGCTGCTACATGTAGCCAGCACGGCCCACAGGTCGTGCGGGTGGGCAGGGACATCAGGCTGATCGATGCCTTCCTCCATCACGGATGGAAATGGAGATTCACGTACAGATTTTCTAGCACAGCACCTCCTTGCTGCTGAAAAGCAGATAACATGTTTTTCCAGTTTACTGGCTACCTTTGTGCACAAAGCAATATATTCTGTTCCTTGAAGTTCACTAAAGCAGTACCTTAGTCCTTAGGTTTATATGCAATCATTAGGAGTAGTAATGAAGAATTTTTAAATGAGTTTTTCTACATACAAGAGAGAAAAAATTGTATTTTATTGTAAAAAAGGGTTGAGGGTTTTTAGTGTTTTTTTGTTTGCTTGTTTGTTTTTTTAAATAAAATAGTAGAGTCACATTCTACTGCTTGAAGTAGAGGAATGTGAAAGTGAGCAGACAATGTCTGAATCAAAGTTCAGTCATCCTCTCCACAACCTGCACACAAGTAGAGCTCATTAATTTCAGCGCCACATGCTCTTGTTTCAACACAATTAAAGGAAACTTTGTCAGATGCTATTCCATAAATCATTCGCTTTCTCACAGTTCTTCTTGCATAGCCTAGAATAATGGAAGGAGTCCAAACCAACTGTTCGGTTTTTTCCAGTCCCTTCCGAGTTGTCCCATCACCCCTTACTGAGGAAGCTGTATCACAAGTTACACACAATGCTCACTCGAGATAAACACAGGACTAGGTGTTCTGGGTATCACATCTGTAGACAACATGAAGAAATCACACCAGCAACATTAAAAGACTAGGCAAGAAAATTTAATTAGAGCAAGAATAAGCTAAACAGCACTTACAAAACAACATACTGCATCTTTATTTCTATAAGAGACTCTCACTAATTTGCTCTGCAATTTTTGTCCGTTGCTAAACACGGGAGTCAATTGACTATTACTTCTAGCATCTATGGAGCAGGCCATCGCTTCTCTTTTTTGCTACATTTAACAATGCACAACATAATGATCAATTCCAATATAAGTAGGGGGTGCATCCTCCAGTCTACTGGATTTTCCTACCTGAGCAAAAAGCATCACAAGGTCTATCAAAATGACACAGCCTGTAATCTTGAAAGTATCTCCCGACATACAGCAACTATGCAGGAAAAAATACATCTTGGACACAAGCTCAGTCATGTCTGTAAGTGCATCAATATCAAAACATATGGTGCTGCCCACAGATCTGAGTAAAGGTAAAACAGCCAATAAATAAGACTACTGCTCAACTCAGTATCCAGACCTCAACAAAATGTACTTTAGTTCCTCCTGAAAATCAAGGCAAGAAAAATCAAGAGAGAAAAAAGAGCCATTAGATCATCAAAGCTGCCCTCAAAAGAAGCTGCCTTCATCCTGAAGATCAATCTGTTGAACTGCATGTATCATATTTCAAAAGCCTCCTGCAGCTTAACTTGCTGGATCTCATAAAGAGATTGCTGGAAAATATTAATTGTGGCGAAAGAAACACAAATTACCTCAAGCTCTTATAGAAACGTGTCAATGTAACTGCCAGGATAATGAAAATTTTTAAAGGAAAAAGAACATTTAAGGCATTTAATACATACTTGCACATATTTTTATATAGTGCTCAACATGTTACTAACGTAGTTACGTTTTCTCTAGTTCTCCCTTGCATTTGAATAAATTGTAGAAAAGAATAATAATAATGACATGAAAAATGACTTAAAATTTCCAAAAACTATTGTAAAAATTCTTGGCATTTAAGCATCGAGCAGAAATGCTTGTGGTAGTGGTCCCACCAGTATTGTCCTGACTCTGGAAACACTTCGCACTGGTCACAGCCGGGCTGCTGGCTTCTCTCTCTGGCAGGAGCAACCAGGAAAAGTCCTCGTGGTTTTATTTCAAAAGCCACCTTGACACAGCTCCAAACCGATGTACAGTTCAGTAACTGCTATTTTCTGTCTCCAAATATTCCTATCTTGAGAAAATAATATAACCTGAGCAACAGGATGATGGCGTTACCCAAAATAACTCTGCCAGTGCTGTGAGTTCAACACCTGACTGCTGAAAAGGTAAGCAGTTAAACGGGGTGATAATCAGCACAGGGATTTATAAGTCACTGAACCTCACACAGAAAGATTAGAGTCTGCAGGGGAATGACTACTAAATGTAGGTCACTGCGATCTTCTTGTAAATATTTGAGAGCCCGACGCACTTGCTTTTCTCTCCCCAGCATCTCTCCCAGAAACCAGATACCTGCCCAGAGGGGCATAAATGCACATGGATTCACCAGCTGCAGCTACCTCGCTTCAAGAAGGCCAAAGTGAGAGAAAATAGAGAAAGGCACTGCAAGGAAAATGAAAACTGGCTTTATCGTACTGTTTAGAAGAATATGTACTTAACCCTGCTGAAAATTAACTTGCCCTTCACAAGCACTCAAATACTGCTTGATCTACTCATTTAACTAATTGATGTGTGTGCAGACAGGTCAATGCAGGCAAAACAAGACCTATCTGTGCTTGCAAATATATTGAAAAGCAAGTAAAATCTGAGCATACATTCTCTGCTTGTAAAGCTTTGCTTGAAAAAATGCTATCCCTGTTTGAAGGAAATATTCCTCCTTCACTGGCGTGAGAGCCCCCCAAAGCCGTGATGCACTAATCCTGTTTGTGCCGCTGCCTTTCCTTCCAGCTTCTCTTATTCCAACACCCAACTCTGTATGGCCTCAGCACCTGGATGGTGGTGGACACAAACCCTCTTGGTTTTCTGTTCCATTGCACCTATAAAAAAATGGCTGCAGGACACCCTCATGGAGACTGTTTAACAGAGAAGTGTTGAGTCCATCTCAGCACTGGAAGATAAAAATCTTTGGCAATGTAGAAACAGATGCCTAGTCCTGCTGTCATCGCAGTGTGTGACAAGAAGTTCGGGAGTGGCCAAATAACTTCCCTCTGTATGAGAACAACAAACTGCACGTCCTTCTTCTCCGTCCTAGTACTAGCAGAAAATGCTTGGTTTTAATCTTTATTCTAGGTGAGCTAACTTGCCATAACAAGTGCTTGTGTCTGTATTTAGCATCCTATTCTTGTTACCCATCCTGTAATGATTTAGCAAATGCTAAATGTAGTTATACAACATTAAGAAAAGAACCGTAGCCAGCCAGCCAGAAGGGAGTTCTGCCAGTTAGTATCTAAATTTAAGTCACTGCAGTCGTCTGGTGGATCCTATTATACTTAATCCAGGCCATCAGCCACGGTAGGTCACGAGGGGTGTCATCATAGGCTAATTTAACATTAGTAACCTCCCACTGAAATAGTAAAGTTATGCAAGGACAAAAATCCTTCCCAGTCGAACATGACACCCACAGTGTTCAGCTGAAAGCATTCCTATGCCCGGGCCAGCATGGGGCTTTGTGAACGTCAAAATGCGACTGATTCTCTGTCACAGGGTGGAGGTTTGCTTGGTTTTCTGTCCTCATCTCTGCTTATCGTTTTTGCTATCTTTGTTATACAGATCAATGGCATTTTCTAAAAATTCACATGAAATCCATTCCCTGTTCCTCAGTCCTAAGGAGTTCATAAACTTGTTCTACATAAAAGAAAATGCTGTAATGATGTCAAAAAGCATCTTTAAAATATAACTCCACATAATCAAATACATACTGTAATAGTTTTGCAGCTCAGAATCTTCCCTGGGTAACACACAAGAATTCACAAACATACGAACCTGCTCTCCTCAGTCTGAAATCGCACAGTCTGTGAGTGTCTGAATTACTGGCTGGCAGCAAAAATGCAGATGTCAAACAGAAGGGTTTTGTATAACCTGCGAAGAGCATCCCGGTCTTATTCTGTGTTTCATCCCTTGTGTTTTGTGGTGCTGGAGAGCCTGATGCTGCATGCCACAGCACGGTGCTGGGAGGAAGGCCAAGGAGGCAGAGAGAGAACGAGGAGGTGGCAAGGATCTAGCGAGGATCCCACCTCATCCTCTTCCGACTGCCGCCTCTCAGGGCAGCGGAGCAAGGGGACACGCTCCCACACAGGCTGGCACTCACACAGCAAAACAGCATTTATTTCTTCACTCCCTTCAGTTAGAAGGTTAATCTTGGTTTCTAATTAAGACACCGGCACATTTTTCTTATTAAATAAAAGATTATAGCCACATACTTTAAAACACCCACAAATCTGTATGGAATGAGTTTACTTGGGGAAGTACATGAGTACCATGGAAACAGCTGTCTCACAAGCTATTGAAGGTAAGCAAAACATATCAAATATGATCATTATTTTTTCATAAAAGTATAGTTAATGTAAAAAAATCTTTATTTTTATGAGCTAGCTAGTTTTTGACTGATCTTTAGGGCACCAAGAAATTCTACCCTATAATCAGGTTAAATGTTGTTATGTTGCAATGAACTCCAGATAATATGGAACCAGGCAAAAGGCTTCCCACTGACTTCTTAATGGACAGTATCAGAAGAGAAAGGTCACTGGAGAAGAACATGCAAGAAGCACATTGTCGTCATTTGGAGTAAAATGTCTCACTGCAGCAAGGCACTGCCATCCCATTAGCACCCCACTCAACTGATACCACCTCCCAGGAAAGCCACTGATCTTTCTGGCTTGACTTTTTTGTTAAAAGCCCTGTGAAGGGCATCATAAAATGGCTGCGCAACTGGCTAACCACCAACCCCAACGCACCAGAGCGAGCTTTTCTGTCCTGTTCCAAACCCAGCGAGGCCCACGCGCCTCCCTAGAGCAGTGCAAAGTGTCCCTCTGAGGCAGAACTAGCCAGCACTACATAGAAGTAGCAACAAAAACCAAAGGTTTAGATCTTCGTGAAGAAAGACACGTTGTGCTGGGAGGCCTTTTTGCCTTAGGAGCTCTATGGCCCTTCCAAACCTGCCCTAGCCCCTTTCTTCAGATGCCTGAAGCAGGGTTGATTGAATTTCTCACTTCTGAACTCTGAGGGTCAAGGTGTCTGATTTCAAGCTGCAAACACCAACAAAAGGCCAAATGCCCCTACCGTCACAATCTATAGCACCTCTCTAAGAAGTAGGTTCAGTATAGTTTTGCGATCAAACATTTTGGGCCAATTCTTGCTGTAGACAAATGACCAACGGCCACCTGGATGGCAGAATCTGTTTTCTGTGAAAGGTACGTGCCCACTTCTTGCCTTCAAATTCGCCTTTTGTTAATTTGGACGTAGCGCTACTCTGCCAGTGGAGCAGGTGACAGCGTTCCCGTGTGCAGCACTGCTTTCAGCATGCTCTTCGGTGCGCACAGCTTTGCACTGCGCTCTGAGAGCCTCAGTTACCTTGGTGAGTAAAAAGCAGCACTTGGTTTCTTAGTCTGTGCACACTCACACACACATGGCAGGCACAAATCGGGTACCTCGGAGCGGAAAGAAGACAGGGTAATCTGCCTGGCTAACTTCAGCGCTTCTATCCTCATTGCAGCAAACTCTAACTCCTCCTGTCAAGTGTTTGGTTGTGAGCAATCCACAGAAAAGATGTATTAAGAACACAGCAAAAATGTTTACCACATGCAAAAATGGAATGTTATATTTAAATGTATAATTCTGACAATTCCTGGGTGACACACACATCCCATATTCCTGTCATGACTAGAATATTGATACAAAACTCCAGGTTTTGGTTAGTTTTGAGGTAGCTGTATAGACAAAACAATTTTAATTATGATGTAACTATGAACAACGCTTTGGGTAAAATACATGTTTTCTGAAGCTAAAGCTGTTTTTCACAGACTCCTTTCATTTTCATTTTACGTGAATTTATGCCAGCTGCCACTCTCAATTCAACCTTTGCTGTTTTAATGTTTCGCTAGAAATATTCTAGAAAATATGTCCTGACATGCAGAACTGGTCTGCAGATCAATTTGCTTTTCCTAGAAGGAGCCACGCCAAATTCTGCATTAGACAGATTACCAGAAAAACAAAGCCTAATTTTCATTTCAGCAGAATTAGGGCCCAAATTTCTGAAAAAGAATCTACGCATGCAGACCTGCTGAGGCCAAGTGTGAAGACAACGCTCCACACATCAAGCTCTGTGTTCAAGCTTAAAAGATTTGTTTTATAAAGACTTCTGCAAAATATATACAGCACTGATATAGGATAGCTGAAAGTGTTGATGAAATTTAAGTTTATGTATTATATGAATTAAAGTATCTCTGTTCCCTAAGTTCCTGAAAGGCCGAAATTACTTTGGAAAGAACCAAATAATTATCCTGCTTCTCCACCACCTCCCTTCCAAGCCTCCTCCCACCTCTTTCAGATGAGGCAAAGCATTCCTCTACCTGTGTGTAGACAGAGAAAAGTGACATTTATATTTCTGCTACCAACCTGAAGTTTCTGAGCAAATACTGGGGGGTTCTTTTCTGCCAAGTCAGGATCTAGATATTCAGGCTGATCACATATTGAGGTTTTCTTAGATATCCTATTGAGAAGAGCATCAGCAGAGACAAAGGAGTCTTCAGGAGATGTCTGAAGGGTAAGGAGGATATAGAATAAGCAACAGAGATACTGCCCAAGTAGTTCAGGCCAAAAGCAACACACCTATCTGCACATCGTTGATTCCTAGTAATTTCACGCCCCACTGAAGACTGCTTTTGAATACATGATTCACAGATGGAACTGACAAACACCTAGAACAATTCTTCCTAATATAAAAGAGGAGTAAATTTTCCAAGACTAACATGAAGTTTAGGACCTCTAAAGCAATGGCTCTCAAACCATGGACCATGGCCCACTCTTGATACTTCTGCAATAGTTTTCAAACAGTTACCATAGGTTTCCTTCATACAACAGCTTATGTTCAGTTCAGGCATCTCTACGGCAGTCCAAAAGCTTTGAAGACCACCAGAACTGAGGGGAACCTCAGCAAGACTCTTTTTGCACAAAGTCTTGCTGCTTACTGGGGATAAAGTCAGTTACATTCACAATCGTAACATGATCAGGATAAATACACAATATGAGGGCGGACAGAATTAAAATGACAAAACAAGACCTCTGGGATTTGAGCACCCGAGACTCCCTGCAGTGAGAAAAGTATTCAAGCTCATAAAAAATCTTTTGTGAGATGGTATCAGCAGCATCGTCAATATAAATTAAGCATAGTATTAAAGTGAGCTGCTTCTTGTTTTGACTCCTCAGTAAATATACTGACATACAGCTTAGCATGCCTAGCACTGGAGGCATCTGTGAAACAAGTTTGCCTGGAAAAGGGGAGGCCTTGAGGGAACCTTCATGAATTTGAGAACCAATGCTTTAAAGTCTGTATGCAGTGCAGGCTGGAAGCAAGGAAGGGCTCACCACCAATTCAAATCCAGCCAGAGGAGCCACTGAAAAAAGTGATTTAACTGGGAGCTGCAGTAAGTTCTGGTGATCAAAAAAGTGAATTTTACATTATCAGTATCGGACGACAACACCACAGTTAACAGTTCAGACAAAAATGTGAAAGGGCACTTGTTCGTCACCAACAAAATTTTGAAATTTTACAGTACATGCACCAGAACAAATCATGTGTCTATGTTTACATAAACCCCCTTATTTTATCTATAAAACATTTCTTCAAACATTGGGTTAAAGCACAGTGTAAAAAGGCCTGTGTGAGAAAAAAAGCATTTCAACGTATCAACTTGGAAAAAGTTATCACAAGAACATGTTAAGCTATGGTAAGAATTCAGAAGATTCTTCTTAATTCCATCAGTTCCATTAACCTACCTCCCTCACCTGGGTCCTACCACATCATGCTGCTACCGAGATCTTTAAGTATCAGGTTGAGTTTCACTCTACTTTCGAGATCCACCTTTGCTACATACGACATGAGAAGTTTCTGCAGGAAAGAGATTCTCAAATTCTTATCATAAATTACTTACTATTTCAATAGCTTCTGGAGTTGTTCCTAGGGTCATGGGCTCTAGGTCTTTCTGCTTTGACTTGTCAGGTGACTGTAAGTGTGCCTCTTGGCTGGCAGCTAGGACTCGGGAAGCTGGATGTTGTATTTTCATTCCAGAGGTTTGCTGGGCTTCAGGGTCTTCCAAACTTGACCTGGAAAAAGATTGTGTACATGCTTTCAGGGTGGAGCACAAGGCCCTTACAATTCTGTTTCTGATAACAGCTAAGGAAGTCCTCTTCATTACTTTCATATGTGTGTGTGTATATATATACATATATATATACACACACACACATTGTTTCAACTCAACTTTATATCATTATAACACTTTGCAATATCCTTTCAAAGCAATGCACCAGAGTCATCTAAATAAAGCCAGTTCTATCAGAAATGTTATGCACATTCCTTAAATATTTCTCACTTGCCTTTTTACCCCTTTCTCATTGTGACCTACATCTCTCCCAATAAACAACTTCTACCGACAAGAACAGATGTCCTTAACTAGCAAAATCTCTGGAAGTAAATACAACCCCCACATCCTGTTCTTATGAACTAGACTCCTTGTTCAGAAAATATATCTAGGAAAGGCCAAGTGAAAAGCTGCAATTAGGAGATTTCTAGATTGACATGAAAATGACCTCAGTCTCTGAGAAATAAACTGTAAGTAGGAAGCCATTGTCTAGCAAAACGGTTGCCACTGTGACTCTATTTAGTAAGAACATGAAGGAGAAATATATGTCCTTATTCCTTCTCATTACAAAATTTCTGTATCTTTGCCCTCTATTCTCTAGCATCTGTGCACACAGATGGGAATCTATTTTTAAACAAACAACTCGGCAACACAGAGGCAGAGAGAGGAAGAATTGCCTATGTACGTGCTATGATGGTAACCCATCTCCCTGACACCCTTTTCCGTTGATGACCTTGCTTGCAGTGACATACCCCGAGCATGGCGTTGTGGAATCAGACAGTCTGATGGGAGGTGACTTGACTGGGCTCTCCTGCTGTGCATCAAACATTAGGTATAAAGATTGTTTCTTCGGGGTGTTATCATCCTGCTGGCAACAGGAAAAGAAAGACTCATGAAGCAACTCAACCGTTCTCCGTTAAAGCTAATTCAGGTCACTGAAGCCTTAAGTGACCAAACGACTTGACAGACAACTAATAATATAGGACGGCAACACAGCCTGTGCTAACTGCTACTGAGATGATCCCTTTAAGGAAGAAACCATTAAAGAACAAACCCTAACCAGTTCACTCTTTGTAACGGCTCTTCTTCTCCCGCTCTGGGGTTAATCAGATTTCTGGTCCTGTCAGGCAGGAGGCATCCCTTGACTGAAAGTGTTAACTGAAATATTCATTGAAACTTCTCATCAGTTCAAGCACCTGACATACATGCTTGATTTTTCTTACTTCCCCTGTGGATACACCCCCATTCGATCCAGTCAACCTATCAAATCCATGAATTAAGTAGAAATAAGGCAAAACAACAGAGAACCTATAGAACTACTTTCCATATTTCACATTCATTCTGTATTCTCTCCTGATTCCATCCATCTTCTTAAAAGTTTTACTCTCAGTTTCTTAAAATAGTTCAATAGACAGTGTAAAAAGCTCTGTACTCTACACTGTTGGAAATACTGTTTTGCTTTTAATCGCCAGAAAGAACTACTATGATGCTAGCTTTAAAACAAAATAATAAAATGGAACAAGCTCTGCAGGATATAGGACAACAAAGCACATGCAATTTACCCCAGTTATGCCAATTTAAAGGAACCGGTTTTGCAAATCTGCTGCAGGCACGTTATAATTAATTTAAGGGGTAGTGAGGCTGGTGGCATTATAAGGATAGTGTATTATGACAAGGGAATGCAAATGAATGGAAATGGAAGTGGGAACTTACAGGCACAGAGGAGCCTATTTTCTCCATATATTCTATTTCATATGAGTTGCCATATTCCAACTCTGCAACAGAAACAAAAAAGAGCCATTAAATACATGCCATGAAATGATTTTTGCAGAAGCAAATGAGATCCCTTCTCATTTACAAGGGCCACTCCCATTCTGCTCAATACTTTTCTATGAGGTATTAAAAATAGAATATAGAGAGAGAAAGCAGAAGGTGCACTGATTTTCACGGATTTTCAACAATGAACCTATGGCACGTTTCAGGCAAATTCATTTGCCTGAAAAATTTCAGCTTTATTAATTTGCTGAAGATTCTGCCCCAGGGGCCAGAATATTAAGAAAGTTCCAGAGTGCTTTCAAAGCACAGATAACTTTCCTCTGTCATGTTATCTTATCACAGAAAGCACACTTTTCAATAACTGGTAATGCCAATACCAGTTGCCTTTAATGTATGCAAAAAGATTTTAAAAGCTGTGGAGAAATGAATTTCTATTTCTTAATGTTTATCACACGGTTCTTAATTGAGAAGGACTACTGTGGCATCACTTAAGGTAAAAAGATACATAAAATACCTGTGTGCTCATTGAACAAGGGGTGACACAACAGCCCAGCTTATTGGGCTGTGTTCACATTTTCATTACAGAGGAAAAGGCCGAAGCGGGAAGAATGACAAAGAACCATAAATCTAAACTCTAATAAAAATGCAAATCTTTACTGCTTCTCTGCTTCTAATCTCCTAATTACACTGGAGGCAATAACCAGCATTTCTTTCCAATCCATGGTCACCCAGTAGCTGATATAGAGGCAGATAGATAAAACACAGCAAAACGCAAAAGAGAGCATACCTTCCCGCACCCAAATAAAAGCAAGTACTTCCTTCAATGACACCTTAATTTAAAAATTAAAATCATCATTAATTTGTCCTAATGCTGTATTTTACTCTGTTTCCATGAGTTAATTCAATAAACTACTTGTATAATTTCATTTCCATTACAGATAGGGTCTAATGAATGGCACACTAGACTTTACATTACGATAAAAGTGTCAGCTAAAATTGTTCCAGATTTGGGCAGCTTTTGAAAAGTAGGGCTTGTATGAGGAAGACTGCAACCAATATTAAAAGGTTTGTTCTTTAAAAACTAACCAACTCTAAAGAGAATCTCTTGGTTTGTTAAAAAAAAAGTTGCAGAGTGCAATGTGAGTTTATAACGCTCAAATTTTGTTATAACAAAAGCACTGTAGAGTACAAGCTCTGTAATTCCACAAGTCTACGCATTTTGTCAAACAATCAGTGCAGAGGAACAGCCACAAACTCTCAGTACCTGGTACGTGGGAGATGTTCATAATAAAACAGCTAAGTGACAAGAATGCTATAATAGCAGGCTCCTCGCGTTTAAATTCCTAGCACCATATGTTTTTAATGGTAATAAAGAGCCAGGCAAGATGGAGAACCGCCTGATATCGGACACAAGCTTTTTCCTAGCAAAAGCAGAAACAAAACTGAAAGGATGAGATTCAAACGACCTACTAGATGCAGCATTGCAGGAGAAAGCACGAAATATCAGATAACAGCATCCAGCGCTTGGTGACTGGCTTTCTGTATTTCATTTATCCACACACAGCCCAGTGAGGTGCGTCACGAGTGTTCCTGGGGCAGCTGTACGACCCCGGAGAGCGATCAGTGAGCCAGCGTGCAGGCACGCTGACGGGCCGGCGACGTACCGGCACTGTCCTCTGCCGGCACAGCCGGCAGCGATCTTCCGTCCGCTGGCAGGGCTGGGCGCCGCTTCGCAACTGCGATCCAAACTGACTTTTGGGACAACACGTATTTAACTTCACTGATTTACAAAAGGCAGGACACAGATGGAAATACTTTGACTAGAAACAAAAGGAGTAACACGGCTCGCTAAACGCAGTTTGTTTCGTCTCGTTGCTCTCAGAAGTTTCCAGCGTCATTAGACACTATCTCCTCTCCCAGATACCTCCTCAAAGACATCATCTCCCCTCCAAAATCTTAGGCTCCAGTTATCTCTATACATTCAAAATTACAAATGCCCAGGATACCCCATGAAGTAAGATAATTAACTTTTATAGATACATACAACAGACTTACTAAGTGATGTCCTCCAACTCCTCCCACAAATAGCTGCAAGATTACATCAGAATTTTCTGTTAATAATTACTGCTTATTTCTGGTCTGTGCAACACGAAAATGGCAGCACATGCAACAGATGAGAGCTGGATGCACTGGCTGACTCGGTAGCTGGGCTGTATCTGTACAAAAGCCGTGTTAGGTTACAGGGTAACACTCATACCAGTATCTGGGAGGGGGAAAAATATCCGCGCTGAGAAACAGCCCTAGAATTACTCGAAAATTTCTCAGTGTCACAGGAGTAAGACTGTCAAGGGAAAAAAAAATTATTTTTAAGAGATCTGAAAAGCGGAAGCATTGTTGATTATAATTAGCATGTAATCTGAAACTCCGACTATACCATGCAGCACACACGAGACAAGACAATTAGCATTTAATTAGGAGCTTTGCTCACTTTCTTCTACTCACTTTGATAGCTCTAAATGATTGCCTCAGAGTATCTCTCACTATTCTTTTGTTCTATTTCCTTCCATATAATTTTCATTTTCCCAGATCTGGGGGGCTTATTTTCAAAAAAATATTTCTTTTTCTTTTTTTAACACAGGTGAAGTGAAGCCAGTGTCTAAAATGTATAATTTTGACAGTAAAGCCAAATGGATTTATACAGACTGAAATACTTCTGTGTACAGAAGACTCCAGAGATTTCCAAAAAGCCCAGGCCATGCAAGCCTATAAGCATGTGCCTATGAACATGTGCAGTCCCATTAAACCCCCTGTGATTATTTGTGCCTCTTAATGTCAAACACATTTGACCTAAAAGCTTAGCAGTTCTTAATTAGGCAAAAGTCTAAAATTGCATGAAGTAGCTTTAGTGGTGGATTGGGACACGGGTTGAAAGGTTAGGGGAAAAAAATAAATTCTGATCAAGAAGAAAAATCTGAAGACAAGTTAAACTCATGCATTCTTCCCACCCACAAAGCTGCAAACCTGCCCTCAGAGCAGATGTTGCAAAGCAATATTCCCTCTGCTAACCCCAGGGAAGGCCACACACATTTTCTGAATTCTGTCTCTTCCACATTTCACAGACCTGGAATGACAGTTCTCTTAACTGAAACTTCCAGCTTTAGCTCACAACTGCTTATAGGAAGGTATGACAGGAAAAATCTTAATAAGCTTATCTAGCAGGAAATTTTATCTGGCACGTGAATGGCAACAATCTTACGCAGGGGATATCCTGGACATTTTTATGCATAAAGGTACCTGGATCCCAGAAACCTTGAGAACAGATGGCATCTTAAGGTTCTTAATGCAACACACAAACTGAGCAGAATTTTAACCTGGGGCCTTCTCCCATCCAGGTTAGAGGAACGGGCCCAGGTGAAATCAGTAGCTCAGTGACTCTGGATCTATGAGCGGTCTCAGGCCCCAGTCCCCCGTGAAGGCACAGAGAGAACAGGTAGCACGCACAGAACCTTGTCTACAATTAACCATGCAAAGGAAGCAAAAGCCTTTCTCTGAAGGCCCCTTTCATTCTCCTTTAAGCTTCTTCTCTACTCCTTCTTGAAATCTCAAGGTGGGACTAGGGGGAAATACATTCAGCTCTCCGTAACTGCCAAGTTCCCCAGACCAGTCCAAAAATCATAATTTTTTTGGGTTCCCAAATAATACAGTTCTTATTCAGCAAATTATATGCCAATATCCTCTCTCAATAAATATAACATTAGCTGGATGCAGCCAGTCCTTTGTAAAGCATACCCTCTGTGGGAGAGCTGAATTTGGTCTCATTAACAAACGTAGACAGATCAGACGGTTGCGGGTAGTCCTGTTTGTCCGTGTTCAGGTCCACGGTCATGCAGGTCCATTTCTGACTGGTCACCGAGGACGCCAATTTCTCCTCGTCTGTCGCGTGAACCACCGTGGATATGACGGGAGGTGTTTCTGGAGTAGGCAGTGGAGTGGGATCCTGCGAAAAACAAGTGCCAATTAATTCTATTATCTCTCATGAACATGTTGACTAGTCAACTCCCTAAATTCCTCTGCATGACGGCAGTCATCTTTTTAATTCCGTACTCTTTACCACAGCTCTGTAGAAAATACTTAATGAAAGATATTAAAGCACTTCATTTAGAACTCTACTAGCAGCAAGTTCTCCTGGTGTAACTAAACTCTTTGATGATAAACACTCGCATGGCAAAGCTGCCTTGATAACAAGGAAGAAAGAGAATCCCGAGCCGTTTAAATCTGCTCGGCACTTGACATAAGTGGCACACACGACCCACGACTGGAAGTATTTGACTACCAAAAGTGACTTTGTAGGCCTCCCTCATGGGAGCAAGCCTTCGCGGGTCTGCGGGGTCACGAACCCTTTCTTCGCGTCCAGGCTGCCAAGCAGCACAAATGAAAGGGCAGGAAGGATGACAGGAAGACGAAGAGCAGCGTGGAAGGAGCTGCGCCACATCAAAGCGCTTAGGCCTTTGTAGGCAGAACAGCTTTTGTTAACTTCTCTTCCAAGAAAACCACCTGCTGGCAGTTTACAACACAGAATAAAACCATCCAAGCACATGTTCCTGGTAGATCAGCCCACTTGTTTTATTTCTATTTCCCCTCCAGCCCACCAATTTGATGCGTTTAATTTCTTACTTTCTAATCTAAAAATTCCAGGGTGGATACTTATGTCGAGTTTTTCAGACAGCTGACTGAAGATATTTATTCATATTGTCGCTCCATTCTAACTTTCCAAAGTACATTTACTATTAGTCTAACTGCAATTCCCAGAGCAAATACTAGATCTACTATACCTTGTACACGTGCTTCTAGAGACCAGAAGTTTAACACCTTATGATTATAGACCAATGTCCTATACCTGGACACCAATATTCTTATATTCTTTACAAAAACCTCTTCTATTAGTGAATGTACAATTCTACAATTAAATGAATAAAATTTTGCTTTTTCGCCCCTACATGAACATGAACTACATGCATTGAAATAAGGCAGTACTTTACCTGGGAAGGAGGATCAGATAGTGGGGATCTTTTTGGTGATTTTTTCACCCTAAATGTATCACTGAAAATAAAGTTAAACCAGTTAATATGATAATACCAGTAAGGATCAGGTCATTTTACACTTAGCAACAGACAGTCACAGAGAATGCAACCTCTGTAAGCCCTTCTGCTTGAAAACCCCACCCGTTAGGTAGCAGCACCACAGAGAAACATGCCATAGGTGCATATTCTTGTCATGCACTTCGAACAGGCCTCAGTTCCCCAAAAGCACAGAAAAGCAGGATGGCCATATTTTTCACGCCAGCTGCTGACACATTTACAGAACAGAGCTGCTGCTCGATTGCAGTTCAAATCCCTGCTCCCCCACAGACATCCTCAGTGGCCTTAAGCAAATTATTTAGCTTCTGTCTGCTTCAGTTTCCCATCTGAAAATCAGGTCTAAACCACACTTTAAATGAGAATTAAAAGTGTGATAAACTTGGGCAGTAAGTGCCAACGACCCCATAAATCATTAAGAAAAAGCCTGATATGCTTTGGATGAACTCCATAAAAACCTCTGAGGGCAGATGCTGTTCCCAAGACACCAGAACAAAGCTTTACAAATGCATAGCACAGGCTCCCTCCCTCTTTAAAAAAAAATACAACGGCAAATATGGCAATTCTGCTTCCAGTTCCCCTGAGAGCTCACAGTGCAGCCGGGGAGCACGGACGCTGTAGCCCTTCAAAACCCCACAGGTTTCAATCAGGCAAAAGCAATGAAGATCATATATTTGGTCTTGGTGTACAGTTATGAATGTTGCCTTTAAGTTCATTCACAATTGGTTAAAAATATTGAAAATATTTTTATTTTCAACGAGTAGATAAACCAATTATCCACCTGTTCTCTTGGTGCATATTGCCAGAGGTATTCAAATACATTTTTGTTACTGACTAGAAAAGGGAGAAAAATATCACAGCAAACTCACTGGTAAGGACTTAACGATTGAACTGAGATGCAGTGGCAAAAAATACTGCCCACCAGCTCATCCCTGATGAACGATGGCAAGATCAACACTAGAAATGATAATGGTGGGTTTCAATCAGTAGAGGGTAAATCAATACCACATCTAGCAGAAGTAATTAGGATAACTTATTCCTTTAAGAAGGAGAAGCACTTTATGCAGTATTTATGACAAACTGATTGTCCAATGCTGTTGCACAATGGTAGAAATAAAACTTTCATGTTTTAGCTCAAGGATATAGAATCTATATAGTTTCTAAAAGAGGATCTTCTTTGATAGGCAAACGGATAATGAGGCAATAGATTCCTCAAACTCATTCACAGCCAGGCATCTGACTTCAAATAGCCTCCATACGTGCCAGCAAAGTGAAACAGTTAACAGAAAAGCTTCATGCTGAGTAATAACTGATCATGCTGCAAAATAAATGAGTAAAATTAAAAAGCCCATAAATCAAAGAGGAAACTTGAATTGTTAGCTTAGAATTACTTACAACAGAGAACATACAGACATCACATCTTCTACCATCCTAAGACAAATAAGACAAAGAAAAGAGAGACAGACAGAAGGAACTGACAAAAAAGATAAACCTACAAATACTGTTAATGTTAATGTGTTAAGGCAATCTGACCATGCATGTTTTCTACCTGTATAATCTTAACCCCTACTTTTTATTGTGAAATATTTGGGGAGAAAAGAAAGTTTCATCAAGTCCTTCAATGATTTCAAATTCAATGTTACACTTTTGACATTTCACGAAACACATTTTTCAAAGCTGAGGCCTCCCAGTTGCGTCCCTATCGACACACTGAGGGTCCTTGCTTCCCCTGATGGCAGCCACCCGCTTTCTTTTCAAAACACAGTATTTGTTATGATATGGGATGTAAAACCATTCTTGAATGGCAGCTAAGCTTAAGGAAAGAGCACAGTTATGCAACAAGGTTGGTTCACGTCTGCTGATTTGTTATGACAGCACAGAAAAGCTACCTGGCCATTTCAAATCATTTACCTAAGTCAAAAAAGCAAATGACATTTCTTTAAATCTCATCTACTTTGGCTTTCACTGAAACCCGACTTTGTGTTCTGACAGAACAAATTCATGGCCCCCAAAACCCAGAAGCAAACCTTGCCAAACAATTAAAGCTAAGAAAAGTTTTCATTTGCTTATAAGCGTGGCAGCTTCTGCTCGGCTCTCCTCATGCGCAATGCTCTTGAAAGCTGGCAGCATGGGTTTCTAAACGCAGCCTCCAACCATCCAACAGTTTCAAGAGTAACATCTACACAAGCCGCCTATTTTTGCTCATCACTAGAAGCAGGCACCCTGGAGGCATCAGCTGCTCTTTGTTCCGTATCACCCGAGCAACACGATCTACCTCAAAACAGCTCAGCACTTAGGTGTACGACCAGAGAGTAATTTGCGTCGAGCTGACATCTTTTCTAAAAATCGCATCTTTTCACATGGAGGTCAGCGCTCAGACTGCTGCAGGTTTCATTCAAGAATAAAAAGTGATCCTTTTTATTGATTTAAACCAGGTAAGACCTGGCACATGGCACAGATTCAAAGTAGTACAAGCTTAGCACTGGCTTAAATTCACGCCTGACTTCACCTCCCATAGGTCTAATCTAGAAATTGCTCTTTCCGTATGACCAGCATACGGAATTTTCAAACATTTTCAGACTGGTCCACAGAGTTTTATTTCTGCACCCCTCAACAGTGCTAACAAAACTTCCTGGCTTTGCAAAATTGTGCCTGAATTAGCTTTTAGAAGCCCTGGTACGTTACAGTATCATTTCTAACTCAGACACCCTCCTTTCTGCCCCTTGGAGCTGAAGCATTTTGCACTGGCTTCTCTCTCCTGTCCCATGCCGGCAGCATCACCAAAGAGGGTCCCGTGCCCCATCTCCCTGCTGGGCCAGCGGTTCTTGGGCACTGGACCTCGCGGAGGAGCCATGCCCAGGGCCCTTTTTGTGGAGAGGAGAGACCAAAGACAGGCAGAGAGAAATAAAGCCGCTGCTTCCCCTGGCATCCCCCAACAAGCCTTAGGCTAATTTTCTTCTAGAAAGCATTACGGCTGCACGGTGTATGAATATGCAGATTCTCTTCTTTGTTAGAAACCACTTGCAAAAGTAGGTTACGGGGCTGCGTGAGCAGACACAGAACACAATGCTGTGAAAGCAGTCCCAAGCAAGGGCTGGGAATTCCTGCGATTTCTTGACCTAAGAGCCTGGAAGCTCTGCTCTGGGGTAGTTTCACTTCTTCCACCACGATAAAGACCAGCAGTGAACTGTGTGACTGTAGGACAGGGCCTTCCCGCAATGGGTTCTCCCAAGGACAAACGTGATTTAGCATACTCTTTGTAAACTCATGTTGCCCCTAAATTAACAGCTTTGGAATTGATTCTAATATCCACAGCAGACAGGTGGACCCAAGAGGATAATACTGGGAGTCTGTCAACTCCACTGCAGCTACTGGGAGACACAAGGAGACTCTGGCTCACTGCAAGTATTAGATTTAATGATCTGATAATATTAAAATTCCCCTCTCTCCCTCTGCACTTCGCCAGTAAGATTCAAATTGCTCCTCTTCTGCAGTCAGACTTTAAGTCTTCTTGTTTTGGGCAAAACCAGTTTGGACTGTAGGCTCAGAAATTCTGTCAGCTTAGTGTGAATCTTAACTCCCACCTAAATTTCCCTGAAATTTCAAACCTCAAAAAGAAGCAACATCAGAACAACTAAATTCAACTCAACTATACAATGGTCTATAGCTTTCCTAAGTCAGAAATGCTCCTAAAAAGAAAAAAAACGCACAAGCTTCCTCAAATCTGGCATGGGAGGTGAATTAGACGTCTAGTGGGCAGCAGGCTGCTCAGGCAAAACCTGAACAATCTCCACTTCACTCCATAAAGGAGGTCATTTTTTGTACTGTTTTACATTAACCATGTCATCTTCAAATTGTCAGGCTTTTGTAATCTGAAGTCACATTTTTGTTAGTATATTGAAACATTTAAGTCATAAAGGGGCATGCAGCGAGGTGCTTTCTTATAGATGCACACAGGATATCAGTTTCAGATAAATGCAGCATAAACTTACTGGTTATCGACTCAAAATAATCATGTCTAAGTGGTTAAGATAACATGCACACCAGCAGCTTAATCATGGAATTAATGCAACCAGCAATGAAATCATTAACCAAGTATCTAAATACAACAAGCTAAAGAATGTATCCCGCAGTTTGTCAGCTGTGTCTAAAAGCTGGGTATTTCCCCAACACGTAGCAGTCTAGAAGATTTTACCCTGTCTGCAGAATTGTAAGCTCTTTCACAGAAAAGAAATTTTTCACATTTTTTGGTCTTGTATTTAAAAATACATATTTCAATCCTGCACTCTTCTGTTTCAGGTTATTTTCTTATAAATATTGTAAGTCGCTGGATAAAAGCATCCTCCTGCTGTGTGCAGTAGGAGATTCGTCATTGCCTTACTATCTCACATCCCACTCTCAAAAACCATGCTTCACAAAATAGTATTCACTGGTGTGAATACTGTGATCATCTTAAACAGTATCAAATTCCCAAGACGAGGTCACAGAAAATTTGGCACAAAATTGACAAAATTTGCACTTAAGCAGATTCAAACCTGCGCTGAGCCCCAAGACTTCAAAAAAATGCTTGCCAGACCAGTGGCCTAATCTGGCTTGACATAGCCCTGGTTCTCCCCTTGGGTCTGGAAACATCAAGCTGTTGAGGAAGCAGCCTGAAGGAGAGCACGTACAGACCTCCAGCATGAGTCCAGCTGTGGGGCTGCCAACACTCAATGGCATCTTCCTCCCTCTTTTCAAATATAAACTGGGTGTGACTGAGTTAAGAGGGAGGAATGCGCTGCTTCTATTCTAGAAATAACTGTGCCCTTTAACTTACGTCTTTAGTGGTGTCTTCTTCTTTTTTGCAGGTTTATTCAAGTTGTCTCCTTCAGTTCCATTTGTTTCATTGGCACTGGCTGGTATCTCAAAGGAAGCTGGAGATTTAGAAGGCGAGCTGGCTATCTTAGAAGAAGACTTGAAAGGGTCAATAGAGTCCTCACACATGTCTGGCTCAAAACTGTACGTTTGTTGAGGCAGTTTGGGCGATTCTTGCATTTTTGTACTAGATGAGAACGGGTTAAAATTGGGATCATCCCACTTGTCAATATCAAAAGTGTAAGAGCCTTTTGTGATAGGGATTTCGTTTGGATCAGGCGGTGACTTGGTCGGCGTGGTTGGAGCATTGTCAAGCTTTTCCACTGACTTTTTAGTCTTTGGCCTCCGTAGTGGCATTTTAGCACCAGGCTTTTTACCTGCCTTTTTGGGAGGAAGAGTACTCTCCTGATGGTCTTCACTCACCCCTTTTTCTTCAGAATAATCAAACTCCAGCCTCACGGCAATGCCTTTGACCGGAGGGTCTTCTTGTCCTCCAGTGTCAGGTGGTGTCACCTCCACAGCCTCTGGGGCCGGTGTAAGAGGTAGTGTTTTCCTACTGGCGGGGGGAGAGTTTTGTACTTTGCCACCTCCCGTGCCAAATGCACTAATCCCTTCAAAACCGTCGGGATCCAAAGGGTAGGATCCTTCAGGCACAGGCAGGGCCTCCTGTTTCTCAGCAGAGATTTTAGAAGGTTCAGTACATTCGGGCTTTACTGAGTCAGCCTTTGCTTCAGATAGTTTTTTATCCTCACCTGGGGCACAAGCTGCTTGGCCACAGTCAGACGGTTCTTGTGGTGTTTCCTTCACCGGTGGAGCATCCAGAGATTTTTTTGCTGGCTGCTTCTTCTTTAAGGAAGCTGGTCTGGATTTCTTTGTTCTCTTGAGGGTACTAGAAGCACTACTTGAACCAGTACCATATGCATCTGCTGACGGCGCTAACGTCTCACTGTTGCCAAGATAAGATGCTCCATCAAAATCACTAGCTTGCAAGCTCAGAGAGCGAGACAACGTAGATTTGGAAACTGGGACTGAATCAGTAGATTTTCTTCGAACATTTGCTTTGGGGTCACGACTCTTCGATTCTGGAGAGCTCGGTCCTAAGGCATGGAGAGAATCAACCAGCTCAATGTTATCAAAGTCCAAGTTGTAAGTTCCACTGCTGGCTATTGGCTTGTCCTCATCGAAGACAGTGGAAAAAGAATGGGAAGGGGGACGGAAAGGGCTTTCTTCAGCTGATTCACTGTGTGACACATCAGTTACGGGGATAGTTTCTGAACATAATGCTGTGGGAACAAACAGAAAACTCAGTGAATTTTAAACTAATTTTTAAAACTGGAGCTTAATAAATTTTGCTATAATCTAATATTATTACAAGTAAAAAAAAATAAAAGGTTAAAATCATACAAATGGACTAAGCAATGATTGAAGGACATACAAACTAAACTGACATTTCCAATATATGAACTAGATTAGGGCAAAAAAAAAGTTCTGTTCTCCCCAGACAAGGATTCAAGGCAAGTTTCATGAAAACACAAAATATGCATTTGCCATAGCCTCTAGAGCATCTCTTCTAAACTATCACTTAGTTAACGAGATGGATATTACCATAACATACTAAATATGCCAAATACCAGAAAATCTGAACATCAAGCACTTTGTTACTCACATTTTCTACGATTATAAAATGAATTCATAGAATTGTGTCAGAGCTCTTATGCAGTACATTCCCTGTAAATGGACTGGTGCTTCAGCGATTACATGTTGATCTTAAATTTTGTTTCCCATGTGCCATTTTTATCAGTCTCCCAGAGGAACATGGCTTCCTCTCCACAACCCATCAGCGCTGCTCCTCTCTCTGCTGCAAGCAGTCAATACTTTGACCTCATAATTCCAAGTTTATAATGAGACAGGAATCACGGAGAATTTCATATGAAATAAATTATGGTAAAGGTAAGAATATTAGTCAATTAGAGTACTGTACAAATATTCTCAGTTGAAAATCTTCCTTAAAAAAGACTGCTAGAAGATCCCTACAAATTATTTAAAACAGATATCTCAAAGTGTAGTTCTAACTCATTAATGACAAGAAAATTTTATAGAGAGAATTATATCCTAAAACTGCTAACTCGAGCAGCTTTTCACTGTAATTAAAGATTTTCTTATTGAACAGAATCCTAAAAAGATTTCTAGAAGTCTCTTGATTTGGGATATAACAACTGTATTGGACAAAGTAGAAAAATATTCAGTACTTGTTGAAAAGAGAGAAATATATAGGTAGGAGAGGATTAAGGTGATGGTCCTTTCTGCCTTCCAGCTCACTAAAGTTCATGACATCTCTGTCTGTGTGTGCGTGTCCCAGCCAGGGTATCAGAGACCTGGGAAATCCCTCTCCAGCTCACCGTTCAAGCTGGACTAAGCCAGCCGCTCTGCGCTCTCCACGTACTGGAGCAAAACACCCCAGAGCTTCCTATTGAAGCGATGCAGCATTCTTCATGCTGTTGATTTTTTAAATTATGCCATTATAAAGAAAAACAGTCAAAACAAAAATGAATGCTTTTTTCATCCTTAAATGACTTCAGAGAAATTTCTAGACATCTTTTTCATTCCAATCTTGACATGTTTTGCAAAGTAATTCCCATTTTGCTCAGCTACATTCATTAACGTTGTTCATAAAAGTAATATAGACAATCAATAATTGCTTTTAATCAGAAGCTATGAATGGATTAAGAACAGAAAAACACATTTGCCTTTGTTTCAGAGGAAATTCTATGTCTGCCTACAGATTACAAGAATTATTATTTATGGATGTAGAGGACAGAAAGGATTTAAGGAAATTGGCCACATTTCCTAGAGCAGTACCTTCACATGGCACCACGTATTTCCAGGGATTGTCAAAGGAATGACAGCCACACTGTTTCTCTTTTAGGAACATGGAAGTTTACTGAGTTACATCAATTAAAATAATATTTTAATGTGGTTTTCTGCTAAATGAATGCTAATAACTTGGCAGTACTTCAGGACAATTTATTTTTTTACTTAATCTCCACTTGGTCGGGCTTGGTTCCAGCCTGGCCGAGTGGCTGTTAATTAGCTGAGCTGGTGCTCACTTCACTGGGACTTTGGTTAAGGGGACTCCAAGAGTGCCATAAAACTCCAGTATGAGACTGATCCGTGCATTTTACACTGAAAAGGGAATGGAATACTCACTGAAAAGGGAATGGAATACTCTTAACGGGAATACAGTACAATAAACACTGGCACCACTCTGGTATGTCAGCGGGGTACAAATGTAGGTCAGCACGAAACAAAACGGGGATGTGAACAAGAAATCTTCTGCAATTATGTGTTGTTTTCATTCCAGCGTGCGCCAAAGGCCTCAACAGGATTGAGGCCCCTTGTTCAAAGTCAGTACAAACATGGATTTAAAAAAAAAAAACAACCCAAAGAAACAAAAAACAAACGCCAATGCCCTGCAGGACTTGGACTGCAAATAACAGGCGTGGTGGAGCTGAGGTTAGGGACGCATCACAGCAGCTAAGAGAACGTAGAAGGCTTTCCAGCTGCCCAGAGCAAAGCAGCATTCAAATCCGCTTCCTCCTAATCAAATCCTTTACTTAAAGAGTACAGATCTGTGCAGAACACTGCTCCACTCACTACTGTGACATTTTTATTGTTTCTTTATGAAAGAATATGTAAAACCATCTCAGAAAACACGGCTTTTGGTAGAACTGAACTGCTGCTGTTTGACTCTTCTGGCATTACAACAGAACTGGCTCAGTACTCGTAACAGTAGAAATGCTGGAGAGGAAAATATGAATGATACTCACTATTGCAAAACAACATAGCTTTCTTTATTACTACAAAGAGAGATGAAGACCATTCTTTCCTGACATTAACAGCCTGCTCAGTGAGCAGTGCCATTTGTCCTTTCACATCACAGAATTCAGCAAATCAGTATTACTAATTACAGTATTTTCTTAAAGTGCAGTTTGATCGCAAAAGAACATCCTGTGACACAAGCTATGAAAATTAGGGCAGGACTTGCCCGAGAGAGTGGCCAGGACAAGGCTTTAATGAAGATTTTCATCTTTTATTGGCCCTGACAGTCACCCACAATTTATACGGGCTGCCCACCGGTAGATATCAAGTTTTAGAAAGCATTCCAAGAACACGAGCGACAGCAGGGAAACGTACATCGCCATAAAAACCAGGCAAAAACCCCTCTCATTTCATTCCTTACAAAAGAAGGTCCAAGTTCCGCTCCTTCCACAAAGAAATTTCTCTGATTTCAGAGAAATTTTGCCTGGATCAGGTATGAAAAACAAAAACGATCCCCAAACCCAAAACAGCAACAAAAGACCCCAGACTTCTCGTGTCCAGACGATGAGAGCTCTCAATGAGAGCTGCACCACGTGTTTAACGCTTGGCATTTTCACCTGTCACCTATTATGGCAGAAGCAGAAGTTGCTAGGAAGATATTATCAGACTGTTTGCATTAATAAACAATACAAATTTGTGTTGTTAGTATCAACAAGAAGGAATCTAAAAAAATTAAAATACTTTTCTAGTCAACTACAGAAATCTTTTTCCTGTATGTTATAAACACCTGGGTTTTGACAGCACTTCAGATGCCCGTAAAGCTTCGATGTCCCACAACAACGGCAAGGCAGACACACAGCTCACTTCACTCAGCCTTTTTTCAATAAAGGTCCATAAATGGTCTGAACAGTAACAAATCCCATGCATATGCTCTGAACTGTCCATCGATGAGGATATAACATAATTACCACATTGCTACCTCTGCTTTATATTGAATATGAAAAGAGAGGAGGCATTCATAGGTTTAGAGCAGGACTGGTGTCAGGATTTACATCCGATAGTTTATCTTTTTACAGCCTTAGGAAGGAAATGCAGAGACCCAGTGGCAGTAGCTGCACCAGGAGCTACAGAAGTACCCAAAGCAAGGGCAGACTCATTTTGAAGAGAAGGCTCTGTGGTGATTTTATAGCAGCCTGCCAGTACCTGAAGGGGCCTACAGCAAGGATGGAGAGGGGCTTTTCACAAGAGTGGGTAGTGATAGGACAAGGGGGAATGGCTCTAAACTAAAAGAGGGCAGATTTACATGAGATATTACGAAGAAATTCTTCCCCATGAGGGTGGTGAAACACTGGAACAGGTTGCCCAGAGAAGCTGTGGCTGCCCCCTCCCTGGCAATGTTCAAGGCCAGGTTGGGCGGAGGCTCTGGCAACCTGGGCTGGTGGAAGATGTCCCTGCTCACGGCAGGGGGTTTGGAACCAGATGATCTTTAAGGTCCCTTCCAACTCAAACCATTCTATGATTCTATGATTCATTTCATTTTGCTGCAGCCTCGCTGTTGTCTTCCTCACCTGCAGAGCTCTCCGTGCCTTCCCCACTCCGAGTGCTGTGGTACCGGCGGGCCAGGACGCGGCAGCCAGGGCATCCCCTACCCCAGCACAGGTCCTGCCCTCACCTGGGACGGGCTCACAGAAGGAAAGACTCCCAAAAGCTTTGAAGGCAACTTCAGACTTGTTTTAAAGATATTTCAAAGAAGCTGATGAAATATCTGCACCAGCTATGAGCTCACTGAATCTACATCTGGCCTATTTCTTTATGAATAATGAAAATATATTAAGAGGTTAGAACATATAAAGTAATTCTTGCTATTTTTACATATTTTTTCCCTTTAAATTACAAAAAAAATCTAGCAGTGGAGCTGTGCTGCACGCTAGGACAGTCGAGCATTTTCTTCTTTGTTGAAGTATCTCTAAAACAGGGGGAAATCCAATAGGCTGAAAATAGAAAGCCATAACACTGCAGAGCTGGAAACAAAACAAAACACTATTTTGAAAGGTTTAGAAAAAAAATTTAGCCAGATCTAATAAATCAAATAAGGAAGAAATGAAATTCTAATTCTGTTTTATAGAGAAAAACAAAGAGAAACTCTTGGAAAATGCATACAGCATGCACTCACATACTCCATCATGACGAAATAACTCAGGAGACAAGTACTCTCCGCCTAGAGCATATAGGAATTGGAATTATCTAATACTAGAAATTTTAAAACACAGTTTATTTCAAGTTCCTGCTTGTTATGAGAAGCCTTTGAAGTTATTAAATCAATTAGTAATGCTATTTTAAAAATTACTTTAAAAATAATTTTGCCATTTATTCTGAGAGAAAACTTTGAACTCTGGACGTAAGGTTTATTTTCAATTTTTCTGTGTTAGGCTTCAAGACGAAAAACACTGAAGAAGAATGTTTTCCATTCCAAAAATTTGGTTTGTTTTTGTCTGGGTCATGATGTCTCTACTGGAAAGCCTGACCTCGATTTCCCTGGCACAAGAAGGACCTGAATATAGGTCTCCTCTATCCTGGCTGGCAGGCTGTAATGCATGGAGAGGAGCCCAGCTCTCACATCTCTGCTGTGTATATAATCTGAATTCATTTATTAACTGTTTAAAATGCTAGCAAAACAATAATAAAAAAGCATAATAAAAAGCGCCCTCAAAGTCATTTACCTCGAGAGTATAACCCACTTTCCCCACAACCACCAAAGTATTTACGGAGGAGAGGAAGCGCTCATTAGGGGGGTTCAGAGGTAGTTTCTGAGCGTGCTCTGTTACTCCTCTTCCCCTCCAGACTCACCTGCAGACTGACTCCCCTCTTCTGCTCTACCGCTGATGGACTGGAGCCATGTGGCAGGTTTCACCCCACCAGGAGCTGGCACAAACCCAGGAGTCTAGTTATATTTCACTTTCATCATATTTATTAAGCTAGCACTGAAGTCAACCTAATTAAAACCTCTCCTCTTGGCTTTCTAGCAGTGGGGTCCAGCTGTTGCGCTAATGATACCATGCAGCACAACTGCAGCCGTCTGCAGAAGTAATTATTGTCAGATATAGATGAAATAATCCTTTAAACACTTACTATGCTTCCTCCTTCCATCCAAACACACGCTCTGTCACCAACCTCATGTGGAAGACAAAGCCATGCAGCTGGTGAACCAGCAACCCAGCTGGTTGTCACTGCCTCTCCCTGTGTATGTGCCAGGCTCTCCGGTTGCCCATATTCCTTACTCCTCTTTTATTGAAACCTATTTATTTAGCTGTATGGTACCAACGAGGAACTCTGCTTCAACTGCCCATAACCCCCGAGGAAGAGACTCACTCTCTTTGTGTGCAGCCACATCCATAACGTATGAGGTAAGTAAACTACAAGGTAACTTTTACTCAAGTGGTTTATGAAGCACGAAACGTTCAGCTGTTCACATTTCTGAAGAAGCGTGCGAACACCTAAGCTATAGCTTTAGTATTATTCATTTCTTCTGAAGATTTCCAAAACAAATTAATGCTTTGTGTCGCCCTCCTACATGTGAATTTTTGCTGCATTACACATCTTCCTTCCCTCAGATAAATTACCCCGTTGTATAACTGCATTTTGCATAATTTTGGAATGCTGAACACAGCTCTGTTAGTTTGTGGTAACTTGCCTCCCATGGACAGATCTTATTTGCAAATGAAATGTTTTCATCTCTGCCGTCCAATGGCCTTCAATATCGTTCACACTGGCTATGAATAGATACTCAGTTTCCAACCTTTCTGCAGAAATATCTGAAAGTAAGTCAGGGGAGATCTGGGATGCAGGGAGACAAGAATCACGTGTGCCAGGGAAGCACATGTGTAATTAAGGGTCTGAAGATACTCTACAGCAGTAATTAAAAACACACTCCAACCCTGTTTAGCATATGCGTTCTTTTGTTCTCCCAGTGCTTATTTTGTAATCACTAGATTGCAAAAGATTAGAAAGAGGAAAGAAGATGGAGAATGAGTAACGTTTGCTGCAATGAAGAGGGAACTGTAACAGCAGAAAGCAAAGTGTCAGGACGCCTCACTATTTCATTTTTAGTTTCTGGAATCAGTTTGTTGAACATCTTTCTAGCTTACTATAAACATGTATCATAAATCATGATTTTAAACAACATTCCTTAATGCCTAAGTCCCAGAAATGCGTGAGGTGGCGCAAGACATTTGCAAGACTTATTTGTCACTTTCCCAAAGGTTTAAATCAAAGCTTGACAGCCTTCCTAACACACCCACCAGCCATGGACATTGCCTTTGCCCACTGCTAAACACACCCACCGCTGCCGTGGAAATGGAAGGTTTCAAACTCTGCCTGGCAATGCTACACATCTTTCCAAAGGAAATACAAGTAACTTCAGTCTGCTTAGAGTAAAATCACCTTTACACAATTTAGCCAGGTGATCCAGATGACTTGACTTTCAGATGGGAAAAAAGACAGCATAATGGGGAATTCAGTGTTAAGCAGCTGAGCTGTCATCTGACAGCCCAAACAAAGCTATCTGGGGCTAACAGAGCACTTTCTACTCCCTCATATTCCATTACTCAATTTGAAGAACAAAGAACACTTTTTTTGGGGAAAGGATTTCTTTGGGTTTTTTTAAACATGACATTCCTTTTCAAAGGTTACTTTCCCAGTATGTACCAATTTTTAAGTATGTGTATTATACACACATTCAGACATACTCCCATGTTCCTCCTATAAAGCTAATATAAATATTTCTATTATTCTAATGGGCTTTTTGTTCACCTTCTGTTTCAGGTGACAATACATTTGAAAAAAACGTTGTGTTAATCGTCACAGTTAATGGTGCTCACCCAGGTACCTGCATCTGTATCTGATACCTCCTTTTGCTGCTCATCTGACTCTACAAGATTCTACAATTCTGAGAATAGGGAATTAAGTTTGATTCAAAAGGAAGAAGGGTTTATCTAGAAAGTTCCTCTTTTCTTTATTATTTATCAAATGCTATGGACAGATTCTCCAATACCGTATTCCAGGAGGCAACAGGGATTTTCCTTCCAGCACGGATAATGCCCAGCATGCACTAACTAATCTTCCAGAAGACATTTTATTAGCATCAGTTCCTTGCCTGTGCTTACACAAACACCGCCCTGCAGCTTTACCTTCCTCAGTAACGCATCCCACTCATTACATGCTTGTTACCTGTGTCTTCCAAGGGCAGCTGGGGTTTTATTTCTTGTTCTGTTATGTCTGCTACAACTGCTGCTGCCGCCGCCGCTTCAGGGGGTGGCTGCGGAGGCGAAGGTGGTGCCTTTACCGGTGTGGTGGACTCTGGGGTCTCAAATGCTTCTTCAGAGTCAGAGCTCCTGGGGAAAATCAAACGAGAGACTAATGAGCAGAGTGAAGATTCACGTTTGCAGGTCTACTTGGAAAGAAATGCAGGGCTTTCTGAGCCGATGGCATTGTCCTCAGCTATCAGGCTACCTCTCAATTTACCAAAGGAGATTTTATATTGCAGTATGTTTTCCAGACCAGAATATCATGGCTATGCTCTTCCCCCTATATAAGTCTTCACGTCACCTAAGACTTCTTAGTGTTACAAAAGCAAACACACACTTGGAAACAAATCTGTCCTGTAGATTCTGCTTTCCAGTGATGGTGGCTTGACCACACAGACACCACCGCTGACATCTCTGTGTTAGTCTCAGAAACTGTCCTTAGCACAAGTGTAAATAGACCAATTAAAAAAAAAAAAAATAGGATCTTCTAAAGAGAATTTCATAGCTTCATCAAAAACCCCATCTAAAATAGCATCAAGTTTCTGTGTGTGCTCCTACAGGTGAGAAAGCAGACACGGAGATGCCTGAGGTGCAGCAAATCTGTGTGCATCCTGCTCACACGGCAATACTACATTCCAATTTTAGCAGGATTTAACCATAGCCCTTTTTGAACAGTAAGCATAAGGGTTTATTACACAAGGTAAGACTACCTGTAAAATGCACCAGGGTCCTGATATTACCGATCATCCTTTCCTAGCACCATGGGCTCACACAGACACAAAAAAGGTAGGGACCGCAATGAGTTGGTGCCAGCCCAGCAAGGGAACAGCAGCACCCAAAATGGCACCACCCAAACGAAATGCAAGCTTGAAAGGCAGCAATGGTACAAAACGATGGGTAACCTAAACATTAAGTGAAGATCTAAACCACACAAGGACACAGCATTTGCTCTTAGAGCAGTACAGCCTTAGGAAACTGTCCTTCCAGGTCTGAAAACTATAGATCTTATTTGTTCTTGAACCAAACTGAGACTAAATTTTAGCTTTAAAAAATTTCATCTCAAAGCCTGTTTTGGGAGCAAGGAATGCAGTAACAATGGTGTCCTATTCAATATGGTCCAAACGTGTTCAATATGCATCCAATAAGCATTTCTGTTGGTCAGATGCAGATTTTTACTGCTGGCCTGTAATAAAGTGAATTGAATATGACAGCGTCCTAAAGGACAGGACTGATTCGCTTACTTCCAGTGATTCTTGGCACGGCTGCAGTCTCCACTGCTCCTCACGGCTGTCCACACCCTGCACGCCAGTGCAACGGGGACAAAATCTGCCATGAAATTAAAAGCTGTTTCATCCCCCAGAAGCATTCTACAAGCCATCCTGAATCAAGGACTCCTCTCATTTTGTTCAAGTTAAAAGATAGCTCTGAGCTGCCAGATTCTGTTTGGTTTCTCAAAGCTCATGCTTATTTTAAGCAGCTCGATGTCAAGAGAAATACAAGTACAGGATTTGCATTCGATTACATTTGCCTAAATCTATCGCTGCGTGAAGCCTCCGTCGAGCCGGGGAAGAAAAGACCGCGGTGTCACCCCTGACAGCTTGGGGAGTGCAGCAGACCCGATTCTCCCCGGCTGGCTCTGCAGAATCCCCACGAGAGCTCCCACCTCCTCGCACACCGTCAGGGCGCACGCCACGGCCCAGCGCCGAGCCTGGTCTCCTCACCTCTGCTCCTGCGCAAAGCAAAAGGATTTCCACTAGCTAATTGCTCTGGATGTTTGCATTACTCATGGATTTTTGGAGATTTCTTTTTCCCCTCCCCAAACTTCTGTCACTGCCTGGGTAGTGTGCCTGGCTTTTGATTATATCTATTGCTGCCGCTCCTCGAAATACCTTTTTGTGTCATTGCTTAAAGCATACTCATTCATCACACCCCAGAACAGTCAAGCTGGAAGAGGTAAGCTGCAGCATTTTAAATTATATGCCTTCAAAGATGCACCATGTTTTAAGTTCAAAATATTTTAAGCTTAAGAACAGCTGCGAACAAAGAGCTTCTGTAAATAAAGCTGCACAATAGGTATTCAACAAAATAACGCTTTCTCTTCCGTCCACAGAGCTGGTTCAGGAAACTTTCAAGTTGAAGAATCTAATAGAAATGGAGTTGTGTGATATTTTCCCAGCAGAGAAATGTTTCTTGTGTCATAAAAATAAACCTAGAAAGTTATTATCTAAACCAACAAAATGAAAGGTAATTCATTGTTCCTAGGCTTTCACATAATTCTGTGTTGCACTGTAATTAATTAATGCTTTACTCTCTTCATTTCAAACCCAAAGTGTTGGTCTGTAATAATGAAAGAGCAACGGTTGCCCTTTTTTCCAAACTGTCTGTATAGCACATGTAACGTATGCTGTAAACATAGACATATGTAATATAACTGAAATTGTAAAAAACTCTATGTTCCTGTCCCACCTCTATTTGTAACTGCTTTGTAAAAACTGGCTTGATGCAGCAGTCCTGTGTCCTCCTTCTTTAAATGATGGAGAGACTCTGTGCATATTTATTTCCCTTTTAAATGAGCTACTTTTGTTTACTCGGTCTCTTCCTTGGGTCGGGTGGGCATAAGCATTTGAAGCAAAGAGAAAGGTCTGTTCTGTTTTGTTCAATGTACGAGATTTCACACTGGAGAACCTCCTGAGTCCGTGGACAGACAGGTTGTGGCACCTGAACTCCAGCACACAGCTTCATTTTGCTAATATTTAATAATCCCTCAAAGATTCTGATGCAATACTCCTAATTTTCAGCTGCACCCCTCCATAAGCAGCAGTGTAATCAAGTAAAAACTATCATCTTAACCATAATTCAAATACTGCTGAGTTTGTTATGAGATGCAGTCGTGCTGGCAAAATACAGTATTTAACAAAGAAATATGAAGGGAAGCTGAATACCAGAAAAACGTTCTTTGTCATAGCCTGGGATCTGGGAGGGAGCGTAAATCCTGGAAGCACATACCAGGACTACGCTCCAAGGTCTACATTGCATATATCCAGGAAAAATGAGATCCTGTGTTCAGTTTTACTAAATGAAAATACGGATGGTCTCTCTTGAGTAGGATATTTTTAAGACTACAGTCCTACTTTCAAACTGTAAGAAAAGATTTTCCCAGAACAACAGGATTTCCTGTGAAAAGGAAATTACAGATTTCAGACAGTTCTATTCATAACGTCTTTTCTCTGAAAAACACATGGAATACACAGGAAGAAAATAATGCTGCCGTGAGGTTCACAGTGTAAAACCGATTGCCAAACTGCGATACGCCGTGAGAATCGACACCAATTCAAAGCTGCACAAGGAGCAGCCACCACGAATCCAGCTGTGGGCAGGCTCTCACGAAAGGTGAGATATCTATATCCTGTCATCTAGGATACATCCTGTCATTTAGAATATTATTCCGAAGATCCAGCCAAGGATGAAGCAGGGTAAGATGGGACGCATGGGTTTTAGAGACGAAGAACCCATTTTCTGGCCCCAGCTCACAACGTGGTGGAGATGGGACATACAAGTGCAGTGTCCGCGTCTGCAGGACCAGCTTGTGGGGCAGCGGGGATGTCAAGGCTGCAGAAGGAACATACACTCATGTGCCCTTTTATGCCAGCTTGGGAAATGTGCAGAAGCTTGCCTTGATAGCATATTTCATATCTTTTCATCTGTAGCCTTTGGTTTTCTTATGTAATGGGCAAAAAACATATAGATTGTAGAAGATACAAAATGATTAGATGATAGTAACAAAATGACTACAAATATTATTCTAGTCCCTCTCTTTCATCTCTCTTCTTGAAAGATACCAATAAACAGTAAATGTAACACACAGAGATGAGGGAGAGAAGCAGGGGAGAACCAAGACATGCAAGAATGCTACTGGACCAGTATAACCCTGGCAGCGCTGCATCGGCTTGTGGAGCTGGAGCACTCCCACTCGCATCTGGAAACTTGGAGGTCTTGCCCAGCCCGTTACACAAATCTCCGGAGGAAATACTGAAGGCAGTCACTAGGGTTGACTTCCCTTCTTCACCTCTGGCCTTGCGGAAATCCAGCCTCATCAGTTACATTACCTTTTTTTTGTAAACCACGGATGCTTATAATTTTAAGTCCTCCCTGATTTCAGAATGAAAAATTGCCGTTTTGTCACCGTAGCTGGAAAGCACTCAGTAAGCCAGAATGAGATTTCTTCGTTCCACTGCCTCTCCTCACCGTTTGCCCTCTCCAGGAATGACAGCCACTGAGGTGAGGTCATCCCAGTTGTCACTCGGAAACTCGATTCATGAGAAGGTAGTTTGCAACAGAGCTGTGACCTTCAGCTTTGTCGGGAACCCTGCCATCTGTCTTGGGTTCTTCTAATATTTGCACTACAGCTCTGGTTTCATTCCACAGGAATGAAAGGGATGTAAGATATATAAAAATAAAAACTTAAAAGCAGGGCTTTGACTGAAGGGCTGAGGTCAGCAGCATCACTTCCTATGGAAGGGCACAAGGGAGCAAACCTGGAGCCGGAATGTGCCGAGGGAGCTCCACAGGCTTTTGTAGAGTCAATTCCAGTCAAATCTATCTACGCTAAATAAAAATGCTATAGCCCGCTTCAGAAAAAAAGCCAAAAACATGTCTAACTAACTACTTTATGGAGCACTGATCTACTGGTGTGCACTGTGCACAGTCTGGAGAGGAACGGGCCGGTGATGTTTTGAAGCCAGGAGCTGGAATTGCGTTATCGAGACACACGGCCGGTGCCGGGAGCGGGGAGATGGGATGGAGCCAGAGGAGCTGCTCGCCACCAGCCAGGGCTGTGGAATCACAAGCAACAACATCAAGACCAGCTCCAGGGGGATCTGCTCCATCAGAGCTAAGGTGAACAGCTGCTCTCCACCTGTATTTAAATTTGTATATTTTCTTCCAAACTTTGCATTAAGCAAGAAGTATGTTAAATTTGGTCATTACTGGAACATGTCCCACATTAATTGAGGTCTCTCATTGCTGTCAGCGATATCACTGATGCCCAGCTAGCACTCCATAGACTCATCCTTCTCATTGGTACTCAA